TGAATTGGTGTGTCGACATGTTGACAAGGTTGTCTATCCGTTTCAAATTTTATCTGGTTGACATCTATCCCGAGGGGTGGTTTGCTCGGGGTCTTCCGTACATCTAAAACTGTGGGCAGTGGCTGCTTCTGCAGAACCTCAATTCCTAAATTCAGTAGTATATCATTTCTCAGAAGATATCTGTCTGCCCTTTCAGTGATAAACAATTGTTGAACCTTGGCGTCCCATCCTTTTGATTGAATCCTCACTATAACTTTTCCAATGATATTTATCGTACTCCCGAAACCCTGATATCTTTTTGTGTGAACTCGTCGACTGCTTCTTTTTTAAAAATCTGTCTCTTAGTTTCAATTCATGAAGTAGGTCTTTCTTCATAAACATGAAACTGGGCTTGCTGAATCGATCTGTATTTCGGTAAATTAAGGGTTAAAATTTCCCATTGATACCATTAGTGTCTTTTTCAGTTCCAGACCTTCATGATTGAATACAGTTCTCACTCCCCCTCCAATTGTATCTTTCACCGCGTTTACTTGATTGTCACTGTCTACCGCCCGCTAAGACCAAGAAGTCTACAAGAGCAACTTCAAACTCGGGATTATCCTGCGGGTTGGCCCTATACGTTTTTTGTTCGGGTAGTTTTGGATTTTGATCGACTATGTTAGTTTGTGTTCTGGCTGCACTTCTACAATGTTTGGCGAAATGGCCTTTGCGACCACACGTGTTGAAATTCCTATCTCTTGTAGGGCATGAAGTAAGGTGGCCCTTTTTGGACTGTTGATCACATTCTCTACATTTATTACACTCTACAATATTTACAGTTGGTTCGTTTTTTACCTTTACATATTGTGGTTTTTGTACAGGTCTATATACAGGAAATTTTAAGTTTTGTTGGTGTATCTTTGTAACTTTCTCATGAACTAGTACATATGCTAACACGTTTTCTGGGGTCAAGAATTTAATGCATAGTTTTTTTTTGATTTCGTCATTTCGCATATTTGTGATGAAAATGTCTCTGACTAACTTTGCCTCAAGTTCGCCCAGTTTACCATTTTTAGCCAGTTCTGAGAGGGTTTCGTGGAATTTTTCTAGTGACTCGTGATCTTTCTGTCTTCGGCCAAAAAATTAGTATCTCTCGTAGGTCAGCTTTGTAGTTACAGTGAACGTTGTTTTTAGTAGATCCCACAATTCTGCAAAACTTATGTCAAGTTTTATTTTCCCGGTTTTTTTTGAAAAGCATTTTTGTCCTTTTTTTCCGAGTGCTAAGTACAATTGTGACTTCAATTTCCTGTCGATATCACCGATCTGAAGTCCATTAAAGCGTTGTCTTCTGCTTTCATCCTTCTCACCTCTTTGTTGTAGACTTGTAGTGCTTGTTTATATCGTTCTTCTATTTTGGGCCGACAGGATTAACCATCGGAAGGTTCCACTATTTCTTGGACGAGGTATATTAGTTCTGGTCTTGTCGGAGGTTCAATTACAATCCACCATGTTTAGCGAAAATTGTCAGTTGAAACTTTTTTGAAGATTTTTCCCAATCATGTTGACTCTCGTTTGATGCGTTGTTCAAGAAAAAATACTAGGTCTCGTAGGTTCAACTCGTTTGACTGCGCCATGTTAAAAATTTGAATTAAGCTAGATAACTACGTTAGACTTGGTTACCTTAAACTAAGACTAGTTTAAGACTTGATATGTTGAGGATCTCTACTACTGATTAGTAGACTTTTATCTTAGACTAGATTAAAAGACGTGGGATTGGAAAGACTACGCTAAGTAATTACGAAGGTTTAAAAAAGCTGAATTAAGATTAGTTTTGATGACAATGTTGGTTGCGGTTAGAACGTTTAGTGACTCCAACTGCAGATATGCAAAAAATCGTTGCGCTTTTGGCAGGTGTTCGGCTAATTAACAATAAGTAAATGAGCAATATAAAGGTTAAAAGATCGCTAGCAAATGATATCCCTTATCACAGGGGGGGGGGTTTAAAAGTTTTGGAAAGTTTTGTCGACTTTTTTTAGGTCGACCAAATTGATTTTCCGAGCCCTCCCAAAGTACTGAACAGACGCTGTTCTACCAGGCAAAACTTTGAAAAAACAGGTCAAAAATAGCATTTTTACGCATTTTTGGAAGATTGTTACCAAGAATTCGCGTTTTTCGGCGCACGCTCCCCTCTAAAAATTAGCTCTCCCGGGATGACCAAAAATACTAGTCATACAATTTCCATATATGAAAAAATGCTAGTCATACTCTTTCCATATATGAAAAAATGCTAGTCATACAATTTCCATATATGAAAAAAAATACTAATCATAGACCTTTCGTGCAATTTTCTGTACGTATGGAATTGCATGGAAAGTGTATGACTAGCCTTTTTCCACATATATTGAAATTGTATGACTAGTATTTTTGGTCATCCCGGGAGTATATATTGCACATTTGCTTCGGTGCTGAGTATTTGTTAGGATTTAATGTTGGCTACCTCGCAAGTTCTGCTAGTTTGTTCTTGAAGTTGATCAAATAAAGTGAAAAATTATTTACTTTATTTATAAACTTATTTATTTTCAGGTACAACTAGGTTCGGTATGAAGTTTTATGCAAAACAAAACCCATTTGTTTTAGTTTGTTTTTTGATACGTTATTATCTACAAATCTACATCTATTTGTGGAGGCGAAGGAGCTCGACAAGTTTCTTTGCTTTTTCTTCACAAGAAGGGGCAAAATTTTCCTCATTAGTTTTGTTTCAATTTTGTTTGTTAGAGTATGGACTCGAGCTCTGCCTTAAAAACTCTGAATCCCGGAGTCGTCAAACCTGTTTTTGAAACCAACTATTTTTTTCAAATATTTTGGCAGGTCTATTTCAAATGTTGCTATTCTATTTTTTTAACCAGCGTGTGCGAAAATAAGTTCCTACTATTTTTGAACTTTTCTACTAGCAAACGCTTAAGGTATCCAAAAAGTTTTCTTTTTTAAAAATTTTTGTTGTGGAAAAAACCATGTCTGCTCATAATTTGCTAAATTTCTTAAGGAACGGAGTGTCCTTTTTTTAACACTTCTTTCATCTTTTCTTAACACAACTGACTAAAAGTAAGGGCTAAAATAAGTTCAAAGTGGTATTTCACTTATTCACCTAAATCACAGCGAACTTTTGAGAGACATAATGTTAAATGGAAAAGAAACTTGAAAATTAGTTTGTTTCGCACTTCATGGTCGTACAACAAGTTAGGGTTGAAAAGGTCAGAAACATGGGATGCTAAAGACCATTGAGGTCACAGCATTTTTTAGACTTTTTAGAATTACAAAACGGTCTGTGAATGGAAATACTACCAATGTTTGTGTTAAGTTTTTGTTTTAATGTTTTAGATCTCTGAGCAAAAAATCGACCAACATTTCAACAATAAATTTTTAAAAAAAATCAGTTTCAAAGGAAGTGCTAGCTGTTTTCTAGGATCTTTTTTGGTTGCAATTTTTTCATTGCCTCAAAAAAATGCCGACGTATAATTGACGTTGGGACCAGGCGTAGGCCTTCTCATGCCTGTCATCACTTTGATCAGCAAATATTCTGGTCTATCTAAGTGCATTAAACATATATAGATGCTGGTCTATTTGCAATTCGCTTTTCAGCAAAAGAACTGCAAAAAAAATCAAACTCGTGGTAAGATTTTTGTGTTCGACTTCGTATGTGTCTACTGATTCGACTTGATGTTTCGACTTTGAATTAAACTGTGTTTTCGACTTTGTGTACGACTCTAAGCTACGATCACCCCGATTTTTATTTCGATTTCGTGTTTCACTTATATGTCTCGACTTAGTGTTAGACTTCATGTTTCTGCTTTGCGTTCGAATATATGTTTCGAATTTATGTTTGACTTTGTTTCGACCGACTCGACTTTTTGTTGCGACTTTGAGTTCGACTGTAGGGCTCTCTCGACAAAGGACTTTTGGCCGAACCCTAACATGTATTCGACCCGCAGCGGTCGAGATATAAATCGCAAACCTGGACCGAGAGGCTTATTTGATGATTTCCGTTTCTAGTAGTGGGTGCAAAATTGTTCGTAGGCTGCAAGTTTCAAGGTGAGCGCTTGTGAGTAAGTCGCAGTTTATGTAAATCCAAAAAGTTAAACTCTGGGTTAAGCTCCTGGCTGCTTAAATATTTTTCTTCAATGATCTTGTTGAAGTTTGGAGACTCTTTCAAAAAAATTGTCTACGTGGCAACATGCATCTTCACAAAAATTGCATATCATCGTTTCTTTTGTTTTGTCATCAGGTTGGCGCCAATGCGTGAATCCATTGTAAGCTTTAGACTTACCATTCAATTTTTTCCCATCTCGAGAGAAAATAGCACAAGATGTTAATATCCCAGCGAGCCTTTCAACTTGAAAACCTGTTCGCCTAGCATAAATCATAGGCTTCCCATAGAGCTATTGTTTGCTCGATTTAAAAGAAATGAAAACTTTTGTTTATAAAATTGGTGTTTATTCTCGGTTTTTTGTTCCTTCTGATCGGCAGACTAGAATTTGGACCCGTTGATTAAAAAAAAATTTTGAAATCAAGTTTTCCTGAGAACAAATTTTGAACCAAATTATTCAAAAAGCATCAAATCAAGGATTTTGTTGAGCTTTTTGGTTTGAGATGCGTGTCGGCTCTGTCGCCGAGCGCCTTCGGGTCTCTCCTTCCCCCCTATGCACACTTATATTCATACTATGTTTTAACGGGTGAGTGATTTAAACTGAGCGAAGTTTTTTACTTGAAGCAATTTTTGAAATGTAATTAATACTTAAACAAAGTTAGTACTCAATTAATACTTAAAAGTTTGATCATATCATCAATAGTTGACCCTATGCTATCATGAACAATTGAATTTTTTCAAGCATGTTCGAATCGTGCTTCTAATTTTTGATCAAACTTTCAGTATATGGGCACCACTTCCGCCAGCGTCATCACCTACATTGGGACCTCCTGTACGTCCGCACACAACCCCCTCCTCGACCAACTGCACACTGACAATGCACCCTCCTCTCCGTACTCCCGTCGAAAGCCCCGCAGAGTTCAATCAAATTCTATCTTCACTCATGGGTAAGTAGAAAATCAAATAGTTTGAAAACCCTTTCTAATTGACTATTCTGCATTGCTGCTTAAAATACACTTAGTTTTTCGAAATCACCTTCAAGTAGTTTTCCACACTCTGTTTTCCACTCCAATGAAAATATTTTTCCCCTCCAGTGGAAATTGGCTTCGAACAAGGTCTTGAAACAATCTAGAACCCACGTTGCTAGAAAGGAATCAAGTTTGTTGAATAACAGAATATTTGACAGCAGTTGAAAAAAACTTTCCAATCAAAATGAGTTGAAATTAACTGTTCAGACCAAAGTTCTTTCAGCAATGATTGCTGACGCCTATTTCAAAAAGTCATCGAGAGAAACGGCCAGTCAGCAATCATAACAATTTAAGCTAGAAAACGTCAATCAAGAAGAAAGAGACACTCCCTGCGTGACTAAGATTTTTTTGAAATTATACCAGTTTTGATATTTACCTAAAAATTCTCGTAGCCAAGTTGCTAAAAGCTGAAAATCCAATTGAAGCTTAAAAAATATTATAAAGAGGAAATTCCATTTTATACAAGTTTACAAAAATCTAAAATTTTTGATTCAAAAAAATATATGGCATTCTTTTTTTGTGCTATTTTCTCTGCAAGGAGGGCACTCTCGTTATTATATCTAGTTGTTCCTTGTAATTTAATCAAACATTTTTTCTGTTTCTTCTTATAAGTTTGCCGATAATATGTGTGATTTTCCAGGTACGGAGTTTGTAGAACCAAACCACGAGCGTACCATAGCCACTTGTATCTCGTTCACCAACGTCCACTATAGGACCTTTGACGGGGTACACTACAACTTCAAAGGGGACTGTGCCTACATCATGTCAGAAGACAGAGTCAACAACCAGTTCAAGATATCCTTGGACAATTCCTACGCTTGCATGCTCGACTCACAGCAGCTGTGCCAAGATAGGGTGTGTTTTGTTTTAAAATGAGGTCGCAGAACCGGATGGTCAACATTTTTCATCCAGGAAAATTCCTGAAAACTGTCCAAAACTAACTGATATTCTCACTCTGCAGGATTGATGAGTGATCTTTTTAAACAATCGGCCAACAAAGAACTGGTCGTGGAAAGTATTACATTGGGGTTCGCATGCAGTATGCATGCAAACTCAGAGTGGCAGTACTAAAGATGATTTTACCCGATGCAAAACTCCGAACCCCTCGCACCACTCTGGCCCAGGTGATAACGGTTCCGGAAGTGTAAATAGCCCTATCAAAACTCGGCAATTAGCAGTTGGAATAGGACCAAAGTTTGGTATGTTATAGATTTAGTTGAGGGAAGCCTAAGCTGAGAACCCCAGACCCCCTGGACCCCTATTTCCTGTTTATGCCCTAGGTAAACAAACCCATCCATAACTTCTGCAAGTCATTTTTCGGCCCCAGTGAACGTAGCAAGTTGGAAGTTAGATGAATGATAGTTTGTGGCAAGATTAATCATGAGCTATAATTTGAATCATTTTAGAATCGGAAGATATTAGCGTCTGGAAAAACATCTCCTAGACCGGAAATAGGCAATTCAAGCAAAATTTTGCGTGAGGGCATACTGACTTTATAGCGGCATTAAAGAAAAAGCGAGAATGGCCCTTTAGAATGGGATAAGTCGCGAAGTATTAATTGGATATGGATGAAACTTGGTAGGTAAGACCCCCGCGGGATTTGACCCTGAAACTGGAAAATGACCTCGGGTGACCCCTGGGTGACTTTTAGGTTCACATCTGGGCATTATGACCCCAAAATGCATAGAACATCCCGGGATAAATGCCGGAAAGAGGTGCATTCGCTAGCTCAAACGCCAAAAGTAGGAGCCGGTCATCTTACTAATAACTTGGAGGAAGCTTAACGAGGCCAGTGATCTAATAATGCAAAATCAACTAGGCTAAAGAAAGTAAGTCCCAGAGGAAACAAGCAGTAATAGGAGTGCGGCATGGAATGTCAGTCCCTTGAAGAATATGATTGGCGGGAATTTCACTGAGCTTTCCGGGGGCGAATTTTTGGCTACTATTGTCCCCTAATAGACAAACTATGTTCGCCTGATAGCTAGAAGATCGGGATTGGAAAAGAATATAAATAGAAATTTTAAATGCTTGGATTGAATTAGCTGCCCATGAAAAGGGTCTCTACCTACCATCGGGAGGTCGGGGCGTTAACAGGATAATCAATTTGAAGACCTTGAAGACCTTGAGTCAACGCAGCGTGGTTTGAAGGTTGAGGTGAACTCGGGGGTTAGTGTTCACGGAGGTTAGAATATGATGATTAAGATCTTTTGTTTGCGTGGCCGAATTGCGACAGCTACCGCATACCGGTTATCTAATTAGCGGGAAGAGGTTGATGAAAACTTGGCAAAGTTGAAAGGGGGAGCGACGCATTCACAAAACATATGCGACGAGCGATTTAAGCGGGTGCCATGACTAATAAGGAATGACGTGACTTCACTAAAACTAAATTTAAACAAAGATAATAAACTGGAGGGCACCGGAGATCCCCTAAGAGACAGAAAAAATTGAGAGCTTAAACCGGCAGGTCCGTCGATTTTAATTGTGAGAAGCAAATAGTTAGATTACTCGCAGACTCATCAATCTCGATAATGGATACACTATATTGCAGCCATGCTATAGGCTTTGTATTTGGATAAATATTCGGTATCGTGAATTTAATTACCACCAAACATCTTGCGAGTTGAAACTAAAGTCGGATAAAACAGCCAGGACAAAGGCAAAAGGGGCGCGGCAAAGTTCGATACAGGAAATCTTACACCTATCAAAAATACTTTCAAAAAGGATATTGGAAATTGGTCTTCCCCTTACTGGTTGGTCCCAATACAAGTCAGAGAAAAACGTAATCTCTTAGTCTCGACGGCAAAGTTTACATAGTCGGTTTTGGACAGCTTAAGCAAAGTTGATTGGTCGAAAATTATTTTACGAAATTTTTATTCGAAATTATTAGTGAACGAATAAGTCTGACTTGCTTTAAAAAAATGCGGTCTCATAGGAGCGGTTGATTTTGACGTGGTGAATTATTAGTTCTAATAATCCACAGGTTGGTGGTTCAAGACTCTGTTGCGGCTATTTTTTAATACTGATAAGTGACTTGGCAGACGTCATTTTTGCGTATAGCTACTTCTCGGTTAACTATGGCCCGTGAAGTTTACTGTCAAGGATAAACCTGCTGTTCTCAGCCCAGACAAATATTAAAATGTGGGTCTATTTGGAACTTGAAGAGCAGTAAGAAAGCCTGCTGCATTGTGTTTTTCAGTTTCCCACCCCCTTGTAAACTTACAAAAAACTAGTATTCAAAAACTGTTGATTGTTTACGCTGAAAAGTTGTTCACACTGACTTTCTGAAGAAAAGGACGGGGCTGGAAAACAGCCAAAAAAAGCATCGTAGGCTTGGTTTAAATCATATAATTATTTGTTTCAGATGCTGGTCATTCAGTTGCCTGGCAGCCACACTACGATCCGAGCACAGGGATACATCTTTGAGATCGTGGAACCAACAGGGATTATCCGATACGACTTCTCGTCCGACTACTTCAGAACAGAATTCCTCATGGGCTCATCTGACACCATCACCAAAAGGGGGTCTTTCATGTACTTGACCTTGAAACGGTTCGCCATCAGCGTCAAGTGGAGCTTGGTAAGTGACGTCCTATACTTCTCTAAAATCTTCTATTCGTTTGCTAGGTTTTTGGAATCATATTGATACTTCTCATTTTTACTTAATTTTCAACTTCTGAATCAATTCATCAATTTCTGATTCATTTTAAAGTTTTGGAAGAATTTGTTTAAGACTTAGTAAGATTAAGTTTGAAATTTTTTGTTCTAGAGTTTTATCAAACCTCAGCTAATATTAATTTATACTTAAACATTTTTGAGATCAATATCCAATTCACTCGCTTCAAAATAAAAAAAATTGTAACTTTACAAGAAACATTCTGTTTTCAAATACTTTATCATGGTTCATTTTCACGGGTGCTCCTATGGTTCAATTTTACGGGTGTTCATTTATTCACTTTGAGCTACGTCAGAAGTTTGACGTTTTAAAAAATGATTAAATTCAAATTTTGACTTCAGGAGGACATTTTCTTCATCACAGTCGACATCTTCGAGCGCCCTGATTTGTTCGGACGTGTGAATGGGTTGTGTGGGAACTTCAACAACGACCACACCGACGACTTCCACAACCCCTTTGGAATAGCCACCCCCTACGAGGGCGACTTCGGAAACAGCTGGGCCGATACGGAGCTATCGGTTAAGCGAAGCTTTTTTTCATTAATTTTAATATTGCTTACTTTTGTGTTTCTCAGTAATTAAGAATTCAGTTGGAATGTCACTGTTTATAGGTATGAAAGCTACAGCTTCTGTCCTGATGCAGATGTTTTTTTTCTTTTGAAAGGCAAAATTGTAAGATCAGCAAATTTTTCCGGATGTGGCCAAATTGTTTCAATTGATTCTGAGGTCAAACTCCTTCCTTTTGTACCTGAACTCATCTTGACCTCTAAATATGCTAAAGGCATCAATAACTTCTTTCTAAAGCGTCGAAGTTGTGCGCAATAAGCTAACGCCGGTAAACCAGCTTGTTTGGCCTCAATGATTTTTTGGGTTCGAGCAGTTTGAGGTAAAATTATGTCGAATCGATATCCCGGTTAAGATTTTCGAAAGTTCAGTCAAATACTTAAGAACAAACAAATAATTTTGATAATGAATAACTGCCCACAGGACAGCTCACAAATCCATTTCAATTATGCTGTATTTCATTTAGGCCTCGTGTTTGCGAGCGCCTGATTATGTATATCCCTCCAATCGAATCGTGAATGTTATTTGATTACGTCCTTAAATGGTTCTTTGAGAGCAGCTAATTTGGAGATCAACCTAATGAATTGGTGAATTGATCCAATCAGTGATCTAACATCTGTAATATTTTCCCGTTGTTTCATTTTTATGATGGGTTTGTCTTTCGTTAAAGAGCTGAAACCCCAACCATTCGATTTGTTTCACGGAGAAGTTGAACTTCCTCCACTTTTTGGTGGCATTGTTTTTGTCAAGTAAGCCTAACACGTTTTCTACCTCCTGCCACGGTTTTTCATCCGAACCCCGTGTCGCGATGAAATTATCATCCAAAAAAATTTGCGCCCCTGACAGATATCCTATCATGAAATCCGTCAACCGCTGGAAATCATTAGGCATATCACCTTAGCCGTAAGACTCTGTCTTAAAGTGATATGTCTGTGTGATATTACCCCCACAATACTAAAATTACTATGTGGGTTTGTAGCATCACCTAATGGCTTTTCTGAGTAGGCATATTTCAAGTCTTTATTTGAGAAAAATTTTGGATCGGTGGTATTACCACCAATTGCTAGCGCGACTACTTCGTTCCTGTTCGGTATCTGATAACGATTCCAGTATATCTGTTTATTAAGGAGCTTTTAGTTGAGTGCTAGATTTACCGACCCATCGCGTTTTGCGTTCACAACCGTTGGTAAAATGAAGCAAGCTTCTGTACATTTTCACAACTTCTCTATATGCCCGCCTCTCAGTAAACTTTTGAGATTCAGTTCAACCTTTCGTAAAAATTGGATCGGAACCTGCTCACTCTTAACTTATAGCGGACGTTACGGCTTGTCGAATTGCGCCCTGGCTTCGTAGTTTTTTAGTGCACCTTGTGTTTGGAATAAAATCTGGAATTCTCTCAAAATATTTTTTAGTACTAACGTTGCTCTGGTGAGTATTGAACATCTTGGACACTCTCGTTTCAAATCTTTTCGTTTTTTTTCTATGACGCCTTTTTTGCCTCACCCAAAACCCAAAAGCAGCAGGAGTTCTCGAATGTATCAATTCAACTGCCCTCGGTAATATACAGTTCTGTCCGATTTTTAGGCTCAATGCAGTTTCCGCTGTTCAATGAATGAAACTACGCTTGTGCAACCTATCTGCAAATCTGTATTTTTTTTGTTTTTGCCCATTCTGATATCTATTAACCTCCGGTTTTCTTTTTTTTGCACTTTTCTACACCGTCCGGATCGCGAACACTTCGAGTTCTTCTTTTTTGTGACCTTCCCCGAATATGCGTATCAAATTAGTCTCGAATTGGGGAAGTTGATGTAATCCCTTGACTTGACTTATTCCTGCTGTCTTATAGTGTTTTGCAAAGTGTTCTCGGCCACTACAGTTATCACAAACAGTATTTCTCGCTGGACTGGTCTCTTGGGGGTTCGATTTCAGCCAGTTTCCGCAGTTATGACATTTATCCCCTCGTTGGCTTTTTAAAATCTTTTACTAGATATTTTTTAACAGAGCTGGTTTGTGTGCAGTTTGTAGAGTTCTGCCGTCTTTGGTTGAAGATATTCCTAGGCGTTTTTAGTAGCTCTCGGCTAACTCGTTCGTATAGCAACTCACCTCTCTGGCTCACTACTACAGAAAAAGAAAACCTGCAGATGTGAGCGTTTCAATAACTGTTTTTGAATATCGTCGTTCATCATATTAAATTTGAACACATCTCGTTCAATTGATTTTTCTTTTTTGCCAAAGTGGCACCCCTGCGTCAGATCTTTTAGTGTCCCAAAAAACTGTTCCATGGGACAAGAACAATTTTGATCTCAACTTTTTGTCCGCTTCACCACGGATGTTCCTTTCAAAAAACCCTTCTCCTTTTCTGTCCGACGGTTCTCCTCGTCTCTCCACGCTCGCATTGGTGTAGTTTTACGACCTTCTTTCTCATTTCGCGCCGGTTCATCTTCCGTTCCTATTGGCTCCTCTAGCGCTGGGTATGCGTTTTCTAGTTACACATTTTCTGCCAATGGATCTTCTATGTCTATCTCTTTTTTCGGTATTACGACCAGTTGAAACTTTTGTGCCCAGTCTTTCCAGAGTTCCTGAGAAGGACTGTGCCAGAATAGGTCTAAGCCGCAGTAGCTCGACTCCGTTTGTGACTGCGCCATTCCGCTTCCGGCTACGTAGGTTATTATCGAAACTTATGAGAGCCAACTTGAACTCATACAAACACCGTTTCCACTGGCGATACGTGAGTGTTACGCTAACTGCAGCGATGACCTTGAAATGAGTTAATTAGTTACGTAATAACATAATATAGGTATATTTTACACAGTCTCCACTTCAGCCCTCTTATGTTTTTTTTTTCAATTCTTTAAACTTTTACAATTTCGGCTGAAAGTCTACAACCGCTTTCTCGGCTGTATTTTTTCGTGTACATTTTGCTGCTAATTTTTGAAATTTTGTCATCAGGGGGATAGACGGAACTCAATATTTGATTCTAAACAATTCTACTTGATTTAAGCTCTTAATAGTTTTATTCATACTATTTCAAATCTCCTTTACTGACAACAAAATTTAAGAGATTATTCGAAATAATCAAGAAGATGGGAACTTTAGCACAAAAATCAAAGAAAAATTGTTGAAATGTTTTTGATTTTTTTTTTCTCAGTTGAGCCGTTTTTTTTTCAATTAAGCCGCAGTCAGAGTAATGAGAAAGCAGCCCAAAAACCCCTGTTTGGGTTTTTTGGAATGTTTTGATCAAAAATTGCAATAATTCAATTTGTGAAGAGCGTTTCCGCTTAAAATTACCATGTATTGCCACCAATACTAATTCAAAAATTTTGGTTGGTTCAAACGAATGACGTAAAAGGATATCAAATAGGGTACCTTTTTTATCAGGGAATACATCTTCTCTTAGAGGAGACGAGGGGGTGCTCCGACACCACCCTCATCCGGCCTCTGGTTATGATACTGCTTGTCGTCAATCTGTATCACTATTGTTGACCAACGTGAAAAGCTGCGGGCGTTTTCTTCTGTATCTGTAATATCAGTTGGAAGAAATATACTTTAAAATTCGTTTCCGAACTTCGAAATTTGGAAAAGTTTTGAATATGATAGTTAAGTTTTTCTATTAATCTTTGACTTTTTATTTTCACAAGCATGCAAAAAATAGCATGATAATTAAAAGCAGTCCAAGTGAACTGAATAGTGTTTTTGTAGCCCTCTTGTGAGCCGATGCAGCCAGATGACCACCCCTGTCTGGAAGTGAGCGACCAAGTGAGGAGTGATGCACTTGAGATCTGTGTCCAGATCACCGGATGTCCATTCAACGACTGCGCCAACTCGGTTAGAAATGTTCTTAACTTATTCATTTGATTAGCGATGAATTCTTTCGATAGGCTAGATACCCTCAAGTGTCTGCTCAATCTGGTGCTCTTCAAATATTAAACAAAAATGATGCAAAATTATTGTGTTCCTCATAACTTGAAAACAGTTTTTGTTGTTGTTCTGATCCTTATGGTGTAGGTTTGATATTGTTTTGCGCCCAGTTATGACAAACTCATAGAAAGCAAACGTGTTATTACCAGAAAAACCAATTAAGCCGTAAGTCCGATTCTTTAAAAAATCAAAAAATTTTTATACAAAAATAGTGTCGAGATAAATTCTTCTAAATTTTTCAATTTTTTCATATTTTACATTCGCAAAACTTGAAACTGTTAGACTGAATTCCAAATTTAATTCTTCTACGAACTACATAACTTTATTTTATATTACGGCTCACCCTTGTTTTTTTCATCTAAATCAGATATTTTTAGTTCATTCAAAATAACACGGTGATATAGTACAAAAGGTGGTAATTTAAAGTTAAATAGCCGAATGGCTTTTTGTTATACTTCGCAGTATTTATAATTTATTTCAAAAGCCAATTTTTTGGCGAAAGAAGTGCTAAATTTGAGTTTTGAATAACATTTCATCTCGCAGAGTACTGTAATTACAAAAACTATCTTAGCAGCATGTACAAATGATTGAAAATGAAATGACTATGTTATGCATTATAGTTTTCAACTTTAATACATGGACTATAAATAAAATTACCACCTATTGTAATATATCACCAATAACACTTCTAGCAAACGCTTGTAGAAGAAAAACTTTTTTTGAAAAAACGCGGCTGGTAGTGCACAAAATGATATTTTTCAACTCAAAATGAAATTTTTGGAAAATGAAATAATTAACTGGATTCGATTTGGTCTCAGCTAAATCTTCTGCAAAAGCTGAACGTTCGCACATTTTGTCGCTTTTTGCACAAATATGGGTGCACATAATTCAAAAATTTGTTACCAATTTCTTAAGCCTTCGTAATCTTTGATGTTTTCCTTAAAATTGTCAACCCGTCTAACTTCAACGTCTGTAGAAAAGCTACAGAATGACTCGAAAACAATTCATTATCTCTCTTATAATTTTTTATAACTAAAATTTGATAAGTCGGTATATCCACATCCGCGCGGTCGATTCTAATCAAATTTTTATGCAGCTCTATTTTCAACAGTTTTTTGCAATACTTTCTGATAACATTTTTTTTCATACCATTTGAATGTTTCCTTATGTTTTTCACGCAAAATCAGGTACCACATAGTAATTGGAATGGTTTGAGTGATATACCAAATTGAAGCCCTTTTAGTCATGAATTGAACTACTGCAAGAAAAACTTCAAAAAATTTCAAGATAATTCAAAAATTTTCGGCAAAAATTTTTTTTTAAAATTGCTTTGGATTTTTTTTTGTTTTTGTAGTCATTTTTCTGCAAATAGTTTTTTTTTCAAATTGTCTATAATTATGTGATTGTCGAATATGCCTAAATTATAGTTTCACGTCAGATTTTTTATCACACTGCACAGAAGAAACTACACTAGCTTGAAATAATTTTTTGTTCTGTAATTTTTTAAAGATTTGTTCAAAACATTCTGGGCTACTTACAAAACAATGGGATATCCTTGTTATTCCAACCATTGAAAATGGGGAAGAGCTTTGTATTCAGGTGTGTTTTAGTGTTATTTTTTTTTGTTTTCCACGCAAAATCAGGTAGCCTAAATAATCAATAGACTGGATTGTGTGATATATCATATAAAAGCGATTCAATTCACAATATTTCTTCTTGTTTTCAGAAAAATTGGTATAAAAATTTTGATGTTTCCTCTTAATTCGAGCGATTAAAGCAAGCGAGCATCAAAAATAATCGATAATATTTTTATTATGATTGTACTTTCATCAAAATTATAACTAATTGTAATTGCCAAACTTCTTATAATCTCTTATCATCTCTTATCATATCTTATAATCTCTTATAATCTATTATAATCTTTAATAATAGACTATAAAACTTTTTTCTTTCAAAATTCTCTAAAAAAAGATGTCTTGTCACTCTTTGGTTAATCTGAACTCAAAATTTTACCACGAAACAAAACTTCATAGAGATCCCTTTATATTAGTTGAAAGAATCCCGCGGTAGGTGAAATATAACTCTTCTATTTAAATCATGAAAGTAAAGTAGTGTGTTGATATTTATAATCAAGAAAAAACCATGAAAATTTTATAATCAAGAAGAAATGAAGAAAAAAACGTAATAAATTTGAAACGTTATAACCATGAAACATTTATAATCAAGAAGAAATGAAAAAAAAAAATGTTATAAATTTGAATTGATTCGAAAACTGTTAAGCCAACGTCTACAAAAAGCATAAAATATAAGCAATTCATGAGCAAGGTCGAAGACAAAATGGGCGAACAAAAGGTACTATAAAAGAATTATAATCGATTATAATGGATTTTTCTACAAAAAATTGTGTTAGAAAACTGGATGAAAACAATCGGTTATAATCGGTTATAATGGATTATAATTGATTTTATTTGATTTCAAAAAGAGCGATTAGAATCGATAATTAATTGTTTAGAATCATTTTTCCCAAGTTTTGAATGACTGGTACTAAAATCATATTATAATCAATATTAACGCTTGAAACTGGATGCGGGGCAGGTTTACAACAGCTAAATTATGTCTAATTTAAAACCTCAAAAACTTAATTTTAAGCAAGTAAAACTAGCTGCACTTTTCTAAAGACTATGGTCAGAACATTCTTGTTCTATCTGGCTAGTAATGGCTATCCTTGTTGGTATTTGCAAGTTTTATCAAGGTCTTATTTATGCTCTGTATTGGAAATTGGACATGAATACAAAAAATTCGAAGCAATTATTCAAAATTTCTATTATATTTTTTGTGTCTTGTAGAGTTCGTACTGTGCTGATCAGACAATAGCTAACTGTCTGTACGAGTTCTGTCTGGCCCACGTGCAGGATAGGGACCCGGAACAAGCAGTCTGCAACACCTTCCAGACATTCGCCCTGGCCTGTGGCGATATGGGTTACCCCATCGGAACGTGGAGATCGGACGAATTCTGCGGTAATGAATTATTTTCAGAGGAGATTTGAACTGTCTTGTTTTTGAGTTATGAGTTCAAGGTTTTCCAAATTAATTAGAAATTTTTTTTTCCATAATCCATAAAAGTTATCCTCACAATATGTTAAACGTCATTTAAATCAAAACAAAACACGTTGAATTTAAAAAATTAAATTTAGGGTGGGTAAATTAAGTGAACTGATTTTTAATAAGTTTATAAAACTGATTGATTTGATAAGTCGATGTTGACATGTGAAGCGATTACTCTTTTTTTTTCGTGGTCGCTTTAAAACCAAATTATTTTGCTTTTTTAAAGGATATTACCTGCCTTTCGAAACTTCAGATAGAGCTTTCCTAAAAAATGTATAATAATCGCTACAATCTGCGATTGTTCATCATTAATTCAACTGGAACGTTGAAGATCGAATTTAAACTTCGCCTGCGAGAATTTCGCTGCGTGATCGGTTCTAAAACGAATTTTTTTAAAAATGAATTTTCGCGGGTTTCAGAAATGCAGCACCACACTTATTGTGGTGTCTACTACTTGCGCAGAGGATCTATCGAAAACTGCCAATTTTCAACATATCCACTGTCTTGACAATTGCGGCTGCAATAGTAGATTAGTAGTACCCCGTGAAAATTCTAATTGAAAAAAAAAACGGTATTGAATCGCGAAAAAGTTTTTCTCAGCAAAAACTAAAGCTGCAGTGAGGAGAAGTTAGAGAAACGAACTATTCTTGTTAAGATTGTAGATCTACAACCTTAACAAGAATAGTTCGTTTCTCTAACTTCTCCTCACTGCAGACTTAGTTTTTGCTGAGAAAAACTTTTTCGCGATTCAATACCGTTTTTTTTTTCAATTAGAATTTTCACGGGTACTACTAATCTACTATTGCAGCCAAAATTTTCAAGCAGTGGATATGCTGAAAATTGGCAGTTTTTTTTTTAAAAAAAAGGGCTGTTTTGTAGGTAAGAAACAGTGTCCTGGCAACATGGTCTACAGCGACTGTGGCTCTTCGTGTGTGGCCACGTGTCGTACCATCCACACCCACCAGCAGACAGACATGTGTACTACAGAGTGCAACCCAGGCTGTTTCTGTCCTGAGGGGACCTTCCTGAACGAGGACCAGTTGTGTGTAGAGAGGGAGGAGTGCACGTGTTCTTATGACAAGGAGACCTACAAGACTAACGACACAATTCAAGTGGACTGCAACGACTGGTGAGTTCGCTCTTAGAAACCTTCACAAGTTTTTTTGTACAAAAAAAATCACGCCCTTTCAGATATGAGTAGCTCTCGTGAGAATTACCACAAGAGGAAGTACATAGAAAATGTGCGTTCCTGTAAAGACACTGCAGCGATTTTCATGCATTGCTTGGCTATAAAAACTAACAAGTTGCTGAGATTCGGAAACAATGGGATTAACTATTGAAATTAGTGTCGTTTTTAGTGAGTGATGTGATTCGAGAACTGTACAATCGCGTACAAAATTAGTGAATTAGTATGGTTGACAACATTTGTTTTAATAAAACGGTTAAAGAAACGAAAAAAAAATGAAGAAAAAAAAACATGTGAATTTCGCACAATAATTTTTGAAATTTTCTTTATATCACAATTTTTTGCTAAATAATTGCCAAAGGAACCATTCAAACTAGTTTTCTCTATAGTGAAATTGAATTTTTTCATACAAAAAAAGCAAATTTCGATGTAACGAATGTTACTAGGTCGAGCTAGTCGCTCGAAATTAGACTAAATCTCAACAAAAATTCAAACCAATTTTCTTAACAATGGATGTATTTTTTGAAAACTTATAAAAATAGTTCAAATATTTTCAATAGTTCAAGTACTGAAAAGGCTTTAACCTGATATATCATTCGACCCATTCTGATGATTATTTATGGTACCTCATTTTACATGGAGTTTTTTTGATATAGCTCACTTATAGCAAAGCTTTGAATAGACCAAATAGGATGCCCCAATTCAAATTGGAACGATATTAAAGACGGGTTAAGTCCTAAATAACTCAGCTGATATTAAAAATTTTCCGCCAAAAATGTCCAGTTAAGAAGTCGAATTTTGTCGGGAGAAAAAAAAACACCCCGAACACAATTTTACCGTCGTTTTTTTTTCAAAAATTGGACCAAAAATAAATATATCGTACTTTACATTTCAAAAAATCTCTAAAATTATCAATCAATTGCTAATCTCATGCTCCCTGTTTTGTATCTAATTTCTGAAACTACAAAATTATAACCAAAAAAAGTATTTGATATAAAACAGACTTATTAACATCAAATTAAACTGCTCGTATATCAGTGCAATACTCTGAATGTTTTGACTGCCCTTAAAATTAATGTTTCCGGCTCAGACTGCCCCTTGATATTAGTCTTTCTGGTCAAAATAATCTTAAAAACTTTAATTTTTGGGCAATTTAAATTCTCAAGTGTGGAAATTTGAGTAACACAAAACTAATAACACCGATTAGCTTCCATCAATTTAATTTGGAACAAATTTATAGGGATAATTTGCCACGAATGAATAATTCCCGTTAAGTTTTCGCATCATAAAATTTAAATTTTTATAGGGCTCAGATGTAGTCAAGAGCCTTCCCAAATTGACAATTTTCAAACACAAAAAATTTTTTTTAACAAAGTTTTACTGCTGAGCCCAGGGAGTCGATACCTTCAATAGGTTGTGTTTTGTGTTGAAAATTTTTATTCTGATTGCTAAAATATGACTGAAAATACAAAACACCCCGGATTGAAGTCCCACCGTTAATTATCGCTTTTTCCGTAGAACACCAGTGACCGCTATTTTCCAGCACTGATTCATTTAGAATTCCAAATATTTTGCATAGCTAAACCTGAGATTAATCAGAGCGATTTCAGTAACGATTCCGTAGAAAATTATTGCTAAAATCTCAGAAATTTTAACTCAATCTAGTAGCTTTCAAATAAGAGTTTTAGTTGATAAGCCCTTCAACTTGATTTTATCCAGCGCAAAGGTAGCATACATGTCTACACAACTGATGGTTGTGAGATCGAACCCCGGTAGATCACTGTTTTTGCTCATTTTGATAAACTTTTTTTGTTGTTTCAACGCTGAAAGTTAGCTAAATTAGCAATAAATTATCGATAAAAAATTTGCTATTGTGGCAATGAACATCGATAATTCATCGATGGCGATCGCAGTTTTTTTTCTTTTTTTATTGCGAATTTTCAATGTGAGCTCCACCCGGGACGCAAATCAAAAAGTTTTCGTCAAATTTTTTGTAATTAATTACGTCATTTTTTTACACTGACATTTTTTGGAAACTAAATATTTTTTTTCAAACTGATGTCAACTAATAAAATTTTTGGTTCGATGTGCCTGGTCTTTGAATGAAATGTGACATAACTTTTGATGACTACCAACAAACAAAATTTTCTGGGCGCTGATTAATTGTTACCCTAGTTGATAGCAAATGGTTATCTTGCAAGATCTTCCAAGAATCTTGACAAGAGGTATGTATATCTTGTCAAGATCTTGCAAGATTCTTGTCTTGCAAGATCTTGCATGATAATTATAATTCATGACAAAAATAAATTTTCAAGATCGCAGATCAAACTGCTAGCTGGAACCAGGAGTCATATGATTCGTGAAAATACTAAAATAGCAAGCCATGCACAAAGGATGCATCTATTAGCGACCCATACAGACATACAGCCCGCTAGCTGTGACAGCACTAGCGGTTTTCAAAATTATTTGTATTTTTTCCAGATTTTTTGAAACGAGGCTACCAATTTCTCAAAACTTGCGGGCTTGATAGAAATGAAAATAAGAAATAATTTTTTAAAAATCTTACAAATAAAATCAGACATCAAGACTATGCGAATTTGCGAAAATATCAAAACTAGCTAGAAAGTGTATGATACTTTTTCTTAATTAAATACTCAAGCAAACATTTACTCAAAATGGTCATGAAGATCCAACTAGCAAATCATGTATGAAGTAAGCATATGTTTGCGTCTCATGCATACATCCAGCCCGCTGGCTGAGATCTTTTTATTTCATTTTGCTGTTTTTTATTTCATTTTTTTTTCGTTTTCTTGGTTTTTTGCTTATTTTGAATTTAAGTTCAATCAGTCCAATTAAATTGTATCAATGAAGCAAACCCAATAAAGTAAGGCTTGTTAAGAAAAAACAACGAAAAAAATATCAAAAAATTAAATTAAATGCGAGGACAAGGAAAGTTTCTGTTTTGTTTTTCTTTCTCAGACTTTTTTCTTTTGTTCTTTGGTCATTGGCTATCGACTAGGGTATTCTCACTTTTTCATCGTTTTTTTTCTAAAATTAGATATGATAAATGGGTGGAACGAGCTTGAAATTTGATTTGCCACAATATTTCTGATAACATGAATATTTTAAAATGTTTAAGTAATTTACCGGATCAAAGCTATTCAATTCTTGCTTTAATGGCATTATTTGGTTATTAAATCGAAATTTGTTCAAATATCTACGCTAAAGGCAAAAAGCGTTTGAATTATAGTCTTGAAATTATTCATTGAAAAACTAATGGGATTGGATGCCACCTCAAAAAAGTTTCACAAGGAGTTTTTGTATATTTTTATGAAGTTTTCTAAGATGTTTCAAGTTGAAATTAGCCAGGCTTACAATTTTATCATTCAAAATTAAGTGCACAATTTTTTTAAAAAAAAAACTTTGTATAGTTTCAGTGAGAATAGTCTGAGAGGCAAGCAATATCCTTACCTTTTCAAAGAACAAAAATTAAACAATGATTCACTAAAGTAATTGAATCTATGTCAAAAACTCAGCAATTTTTTCAAAAAAAAATTGCTGAGAAAACTACAGGCTACTGAAACAAGAAAAACTCATTTCATCCGTTGAATATGAACATTTTTCTTTCAGAATTCTTTGCTGAGTGACTTTCACAGCAAAAAGATTAAGTCTGATGACTGCTTGTAAAAGGGTGCCCTGACTGTTTTGGCTGCCTTTCAATGTATATGATCAAACATTTACAACTATATCTACAAAATATTTATGGTTATTCGATTTTTATTGATTTTGATATTGAGCAAATTAAGATACTGATATGGTATAAATTTTTATCGCTCTTTTTTTGGTAAACAAAAGTGACTTGAAGAAAAAAAAATCGACCTTGCTATTCATTTTGGTAGAATTTTTGGAAGGTTTCGATCATAAAATTGTTTTCTCTCAAAATTAGTATGTGTTCGCGCCTTTATAAAACTTGAGGGTTGCTCAATCAAAAATGGATGTCAAAAAGTAGCACTAAAAGCGGCTTTTTGAATGACCAGGAGATCTGACCTCTTAGATTTATTCTTAAATCTGCTCCTTACTTCACACTTAGCAGCAGCTATTAGCAAAGAAAAATCTTTTTTTAAAATCTTTAGTACATGCAAGGGTGGCTTCTGGGATTGCACCAACTACATTTGCGACTCCCTCTGCGAGGTTAGAGGTCACGGACACCTGAAGACATTCGACGGACTCACGATCCAGTACCCAGGAACATGCGACTACGTACTTGTACAGGTATGTCTAAATGAGCTCTTCAAGTTTTGTTTCACCATTTTAGTATTTGGATTCCATGTAATAATATGGTGACAAAAACTTGAAGAGTTGAGAATTCAAATTTGGGAACATTAGCACTAGAGCGATGGGAATAGTTTGTGTTATAACATTTTTTTCTTAATTACATCTCAAAATCGGAAATCTATTCGGACACTTATTCACCTATCTGTCTATTTAAATAAATTTTCAGGAGTTTTTCCTCGCTCGTTTTGTTTTTTTTCGCATTGTTCTCGATGTTTGTTTATCTGTTTATTTCTTTGTCAGACATACGAAGCGGAAGATAAGGATTTGAAGATGATTCTGAAGACCAGGTGTGCGGATGAGACTGTGCCCTACGGATGTGTGAAGGCGATAGTAATGTATGTGGCGGGCGTGTTCCAAGGCAAAAGCCACAAGATCGAAATGGACGGGGATGATTTGATCGTGAACGGAGAGACAATGAGTCCATCGGAAACTATTCGAACGTGCGTTCCTTTTCTTAATATTCAGTTGCCTCGAAAAATATTACATTTGAATATTGTGTTACATTGCCCAAGTTTTGAGATAAGACTTCTCATGTCATTAATAGTAAGTAATAGGTTATGCAATGACAAAAACCAACGGAAAAACATTTCGCAGAACATTGATCAATATCAAAAGTTCCCTGAAACGAAAGACAACTAGAAAGTGAAGTGTTAAAATGAGTAACACGCTTCATATGAGACTCGTTTACCATTTTAGTGATAATTTTGTTCCAAAGGCCGTCTATGGAAATTTAGTATGTGAAAACTAGGTTTGTGGCCAAGAACATCCAGAAAAAATGTTATACAAAAAAGAGTTCTACTGTGAAAAAATGCTTTGCAATAAATTGTGACTTATTATGAAAAAATGTTCTGCAAAAATTTGTGACTTATTATGAAAAAATGTTCTGCAAAAATTTGTGACTTATTATGAAAAAATGTTCTGCAAAAATTTGTGACTTATTATGAAAAAATTATGACCATAAATTATGGCCATAAATTGTGGTTTTAACGAGGAACAATGTTTTGCAATAAATTATGTTTGGCAATGTATTGTGAGCTTATGCGTATGTTACAGTGTGGACGGGATCCAAGTGCTTCGACTGACCACAAGCTACAATGCTGTGTATGCGGCCGGGGTGCGAGTGTTCTACGACAAACGATCAATAATCGGCATCTACATTTCACAGTTCTACCAAGACCTGGTAAACAATCAAACCCAATCGAGGACCATTCTTGAGACAGAATGTATGGATCTCTTTACCTAATTTCCTTTTTTGCAAAGGGGGGAGGGGGTAAACGGTTAAAAGTATCTGAATGTGCGAATGATAGGGCTTAAAAGCAATCAAAATCCACTTAGTTGTCCGAAGTTAACTGATTTTTACTTTAATCGTATGAAAAGTGTTATATGGAGTATTATCCATGCCAATCATTTAAATAGTTGTGAAGGCCGGCAGCAGCTAAATTTAATCTCATAAACTTTTAAGGCAACAAAGTTTTTTCTTGGATAACAAATAGTTTCCGCAGAAATCCGTTACTTTTCTAAATTATTTCATACAAAAGTAAATACTGAGTCAAAGAGAAAAAAGCATTTTATACACATTGATTACACAGTTTTAACTATAAAAACACAATATTATGGCAATCATATGCTGCCCGATTATATATTTTTCCCTTCCAAAACTTTTATGTTTTCTGAAAAGCACATTGGACTTCTTTCAGTGGAAAGAATGAAAAAATTAAATAATGATTTCTGTGATAAAACTAAATAGTGATTTCTCAGCTCGTATCAGGGCAAAGTCCTGAATTTTCCGACTACGTCTTGATTTCTATGGAGTTATATAACATAAAATAGTTGATGAAACTTTCAAAAAAAAAGTTTTTTGATATTTCTAGTTTTTTCATGTTTTTTTTTAAATAATGCCACCACACGTTATGTAAAGTACATAGTGATAGAATTTGCATATAGCAAATTATTAAATATATCAAATAGCATGCTTTTGGAATAATTTCTAACACGAACTAAATTTCGGCTCACTCGTTAATAGCACGAAATATATCGCGCGTTAATTTTCTCATATTGGCAATTTTTACACCCCCTTAACTTTGCAAAAAATGATCACTGGTGAAATGTTTTTCCCCAAAATTGAGTTCAGTACGGTAGTACTTTCGAATGATAGAAAAAAATCGGTAAGAAAAAGCTATTTAAAAAAAACGAAATTTGTATGGAGAAAAAACACCCAGAGTACAAACTTTTCGTCACTTTCTTTGATTGTTGGAACAAGAGCACTACCCTGAGACTATAGATACTACCTGTTTGGCTGCCGTAGCCTTGAATAGTACTGCTGTAATTAATGCAAAGCTTTGAACAATTTTATGTTTTAAAATTGTCTTAGGGTTTGTGACAAAAAATACAGTTGATTTTTTCGAAAATTGTTTCGACCACGCAAGTAAAATCAAGTAGTAAAGTGACGTAATCTGATAAGGACAAGTATAAAAGCGAGTTGACCGAAACAGAAAGAAAAATAACTTGATTAACACAAGACTGCCTCTATACCAGGGAAAGATTTCAATGTTTCGACTGTCCTTGATTGTCGAAAACAAGCTTTTTTGTTCAAAAAAATTGAGTTGGAAAAAAAATTCAAAAAAATCAAGTTCAAAGTTTTTATTTCTTAAATTTAACCCCACAAACTATTTAAGAGTACCACATTGAGTATTCTACTTCTCTGCGCGTGGTGCATCCAAACTGTGTGCCAATGTTCAATTTGGATGGATTTAACTAGCCGCTTATGCTTTAATAGAACAAAACATATTCCTAACCCTACTCAAATTGTAGTTGGCAAAGTAGTCTCAAATTCAAACTGGTATAATTTTGTGAAAAACGAACACAGGTAAAATGTAATTTTAGATTTGTGCTCCAGACAGTAATGTCTTTCAGATATTATAAACAATTTTGTCAGTTAAGCTTTTCTTGACAGTTGAAAATTGGCTTAGTAAAAAAAAACACCTTCTGCATGAATAATACTTTTTTCAAAAGAAAAACAAAATGTTTTAGTAAACATTTTGTTCAATAGGGATCCTAGTGTTTTTAAAATGTTTTAGCAATTTGGATTAAGATTTAGCAAATTTACAATCCCAATCGAGAAGCATCTTTTCCTTAATTTTTTTTTATTAACTTTGCTTTAATTGGGCTCTAAATCTGACCATCTAAAATGTTAGTGATTGCACTGACTGTTTTTGATTTGACAATTTTAGGAAAACTCATACAGAACAATCTCATACGGGAATTAATTGCTGAAATATCCGATGATCCCATGTGATGTGCAGTTAGCACCAAAAATTTCAACCTTGGTCTTTTTTCAAAGAATTCATGTATGATTACCCCTGCGATTAGCAAGGGAGTTGCAACCGGGTAAAAAAATTTATCTCATAGAGTGGTGAAATTAGTAACAATAGTAAATTTGAAGATCAAAGGCTGGCATACTCAGTTTTCTGAAAGCTTAAATAAAACTACCATCTTTTAGATAGTAAATAGTGGGAGTTTACTTCAGATACCTATTATTTTTTTGATCAATTTCTCGAAAAGAAACTAGTTGAAAATGCTTCCGGATTCGTGGTTTTCTCCTTATTTTCCTTTGGGCTATTTTATTTTTAAAAGTGCTGTAATTTGTAATTTTACCAAGTCTATGTTTAAAGGAAATTATTGATTTAAAAAAAATGCAACTTATTTTGTGTAGTTTTGAGGGCAAGTATTCCTGTTCGATAGTAAGTATTTTTTGAGACGTTTTGGAAAGTTTCTTCGATTTTCGTAAAACTGAACCAATTTTCAACAAATTGGAAACCAATGGAAAGACTGGCTACTACTCTGTGTGCCTGCATACTTCCCTAGTCTTTTTTTCACCTTCCTTGACCTTCTACGGCTTTCAAAAATTCCAACGAGGGAATGATTTTCTTGTTATTTTTTCCGCTGATACTAATCTGCCAAATCTTAGATTAAGGTTTGAATCGAAAAAATAGCTAGCGAAGATAATAATTTGAAAGGCCATTCTTGTCATATGTCATCTTTCATAACTTCTCACATCTGTACTTCTTACTCTTGAGTTTAGTTTAAAAAAATAACTGATCGTGGAGATAATTCACTTATAAACAGCTACACCCTTCTTTTCACGAGAAATACTGGCCTAAAGCAACGACATCTTTTTGAAGTTCTGATCGTTTCGTGAAATTTCGATTGTGCTCGAAAATTACCCTCACAAATGTGAGTTTAAAGAATCAATCGAGAAATCAGTTAATGAAATTTGTCCAGCGTAAGCGGCTACGCCACAATTTTTCCAAATGAGGTAACTTTATCAAAAAGTGACAACATAAGCTTTCTTAAGCTAACAAAAACTTAGGGACATCTACTTTTTCGTTGAAGTTCAAAGGTTAAAATTGTTCAAAAAAAACAAGTTTTCTTCTGTTTCCATGAGTTCATTTACTCTTTTCCATTGTTTGTTGACTCGTTTTATTTAAAAATTTTCATGCCAATTTCTATTAGATAGTTTCGATTCATTGCATTGCATATGGTGCGAAGCTCAGCTTAGGAGCGCGCCTTTTTTAAGAGCACACCTTTTCCAACCTAAGTAACTCAATTTGAATTCAATATTATTTTTTCAGCTTAATCTATCATGAGAAAACTATTAAGAGTTAAGTGCATAAAAGTATTGACTGAAAGATGTTGACTGCAAATTAAAAACATATTTTACTTTCGATTTTTTTTACAACGTGATAGGGTTCGAAATTTTCCAATTTGATCTGTTTGGGATCATTAATGCAAACATTTTAGCAGTTCTTGATTAACACATAGTATAAGCAGCGAACTTTCCCGGATCAGATATCATTCGAACTTGAAAAAAAAACTAATTATCGGTCTAACTAATAAGTAACTACACACAAAACAAATCAATTTGTACTTATCATAAGGTGGAAGTGTGTTATAAATCTGATTTTTTTTTAAATTTTCAAAATTTTCATTCGTTAATTGCTAAAAAATTTGGCCTGTATTTTATCAAAAGAGAGAACGTTTGAATTTTTTGTTTTCACTTTTTATTGCATATAACTTCTTACACTATCATGAGCAAGTGTCTTAATATGAATTCGATTTTTATGCATTCAAGAGATCCGTTACTCGAGTATTTGTACTTGCTGCAAGATGGAATCTTTCTGCTCTGAAAAAAAAACATTGAAAGATTATTGGTTTATTTTTGATCATTTCTGAGCTTGGTATTTGTAGGCACATGTTAGATTTTTTTGGTTAATCCAGCTACTCTTTTCCTATTGTTTGTTGACTATTTTTATTTAAAAATTTTCATGCCAATTTCTATTAGATAGTTTCGATTCGTTGCATTGCATATGGTGCGAAGCTCAGCTTCGGAGCGCGCCTTTTTTAAGAGCACACCTTTTCCAACCTAAGTAACTCAATTTGAATTCAATATTATTTTTTCAGCTTAATCTATCATGAGAAAACTATGAAGAGTTAAGTGCATAAAAGTATTGACTGAAAGATGTTGACTGCAAATTAAAAACATATTTTACTTTCGATTTTTTTTACAACGTGATAGGGTTCGAAAATTTCCAATTTGATTGATTTGGGATCATTAATGCAAACATTTTACCAGTTCTTGATTAACGCATAGTATAAGCAGCGAACTTTTCCGGATCAGATATCATTCAAACTTGAAAAAAAACTAATTATCGGTCTAACTAATAAGTAACTACACACAAAACAAATCAATTTGTACTTATCATAAGGTGGAAGTGTGTTATAAATCTGATTTTTTTTTAAATTTTCAAAATTTTCATTCGTTAATTGCTAAAAAATTTGGCCTGTATTTTATCAAAAGAGAGAACGTTTGAATTTTTTGTTTTCACTTTTTATTGCATATAACTTCTTACACTATCATGAGCAAGTGTCTTAATATGAATTCGATTTTTATGCATTCAAGAGATCCGTTACTCGAGTATTTGTACTTGCTGCAAGATGGAATCTTTCTGCTCTGAAAAAAAAACATTGAAAGATTATTGGTTTATTTTTGATCATTTCTGAGCTTGGTATTTGTAGGCACATGTTAGATTTTTTTGGTTAATCCAGCTACTCTTTTCCTATTGTTTGTTGACTATTTTTATTTAAAAATTTTCATGCCAATTTCTATTAGATAGTTTCGATTCGTTGCATTGCATATGGTGCGAAGCTCAGCTTCGGAGCGCGCCTTTTTTAAGAGCACACCTTTTCCAACCTAAGTAACTCAATTTGAATTCAATATTATTTTTTCAGCTTAATCTATCATGAGAAAACTATGAAGAGTTAAGTGCATAAAAGTATTGACTGAAAGATGTTGACTGCAAATTAAAAACATATTTTACTTTCGATTTTTTTTACAACGTGATAGGGTTCGAAAATTTCCAATTTGATTGATTTGGGATCATTAATGCAAACATTTTACCAGTTCTTGATTAACGCATAGTATAAGCAGCGAACTTTTCCGGATCAGATATCATTCAAACTTGAAAAAAAAACTAATTATCGGTCTAACTAATAAGTAACTACACACAAAACAAATCAATTTGTACTTATCATAAGGTGGAAGTGTGTTATAAATCTGATTTTTTTTTAAATTTTCAAAATTTTCATTCGTTAATTGCTAAAAAATTTGGCCTGTATTTTATCAAAAGAGAGAACGTTTGAATTTTTTGTTTTCACTTTTTATTGCATATAACTTCTTACACTATCATGAGCAAGTGTCTTAATATGAATTCGATTTTTATGCATTCAAGAGATCCGTTACTCGAGTATTTGTACTTGCTGCAAGATGGAATCTTTCTGCTCTGAAAAAAAAACATTGAAAGATTATTGGTTTATTTTTGATCATTTCTGAGCTTGGTATTTGTAGGCACATGTTAGATTTTTTTGGTTAATCCAGCATTTCTGGGTAACAACAATTGCGGCGGGTAGTTTATAGTACCAAGAAAACTTTTTGAATTATTGTTGTTGACATTCACAGAAAAACTTTTCCCGTTTCTTAAACAAAAAGTTGTTTCGGTGCCTAGTTAGAACTTGCCAAAGACCTTATTTTTCAAAAATAAATGAGTAAGAGAATAAGTCATTCCGTGCTCTCGAACTCTGTTTTTTTCTTCTGAAAAAATTAGCATAGATATTTTCATTTCTCAAGTGCGTCAATTTTTCTGTTTGTTTCTTTTATCAGAGAGAGTAGATGTCTGTGGTATAGATGGGCAAACAGGCAATACTGGAGTTTTGTTGATTTTTGAGTTTACGAACTGAAGTAGTACGAGATTATTGAATATGAGGAATTTTAGGCATTGGTATTTTACAGGTTGAGGGTTTGTGTGGTACTTACAACCACAACCCGAGAGACGATTTGCGACTTCGTAACCGGATGGTACATGCACTGGCAGCCACTTTTGCCTCCGACTGGGCTGAGGACGACACCGACTGTTTCAACCCCAACTCAACCTCGGAATTTATAAGCATCAATTCACCCTGTGATCACGTTTCAACCACTCTGTGAGTCATAATCAAATACTTTTCGCAGAAGTTGCAGAAAATGTGGTTTTAAAAGGGTCTTTATAAGGGTTTGCGAGATCCAGAGTTGGAACCGGGCCCGGGCCTCATTTTTAGGACCAGCAACCGAGTCGGGCCCGGGCTTGACTTTCAAAAGAGTTCACACCTTTCACCGTTCAAGCTACAAACGCCCTGAGGGAGCGTGACTTCAGCAGGGCCGGGCAAATCCTGACAGCCAAGCGTGCCCTCCTTTCATAGCATAGTGGTAAGGCGTTCACTTTAGAATCGTCAGATCGTGTAATCGATCCCATGCCATGGCAATGATAGTGTGTGAGGACGAGCTCTCACTTGACCTATAGCTTCAGGTCTACCACAACCTGACCAAATTTGGCTGCAAAAGTGGGGCCACGTGAAAGTTCTAGACGCACAAAAACGGCCTTGAGTCGTATAAAAGAGCTGCGCTCAACAAAATAACACAGTCTGGAATGTGGGGAAATAATACAAACGGACTATCCTCGACAGGACTGTTAAGGCCTACTGATAGCTCCTCTGCGATTCGCAGGAACTACAATTAATTAATTAAAATTCAGCCAAATCGAACTGCTAGGATAGGCTGCGGCCAATGGGCTTATTAATTTTTGAGTTTTTAAACAAAAAAATTCACATTTAAATTTCAATTTACTTTGTGTTAGGAAATTCGTGTTTTCATTAAAAATGGGCCCAGGCCGGGTACGGGCCTGAAATTTTTATTTCCTAACCGAGCCGAGAACGGGCCTAATTTAACCGGGCCGGGCAGAGGCGGATCTAGGATTTTATCGAGGGGGGGGGGGGTCAAAAAATTTTGTCGACCAAAAAATTTTTTTAGGTCGACCAAATTGATTTTTTTCGAGCTCTCCCAAAGCACAAAAAAGACTCTGATTTGAAAAAGTAGGCCAAAAAAGACGTTTTTAGGAAGGCACATTTTGGAAAATTTTGACCAAAAAATTGCGTTTTTTCGACGCGCGCTCCCCACTCAAAATTAGTATATATTGGTGCCGAAGGCGCGCCTCTGGAAAATTTTTAGGGTCGTTCACCAAATATTAATATCTGAAAATAATACAAATGGGGACCCTTCGGGTTGGTAGGGGGTAGAATCCCTAAGGAAAGGGTTTGTCCACCCAAACCCCCCTAAATCCGCCCCTGCCGGGCCGGGTCCTGGCCTCAAATTCAGGCCCGGTTCCAACTCTGGTGAGAGCTCAGAAAGTCAGTGTGATCTACCTAAAAAACCTCCCCCTTTTTGAAAATCCACCTCTCTGGAGAAAATCCCAGATCTGAAAATTTATTGTTTTCATAACCACCGTGATTATTCCAAAACTCAATTCAGAGAGCAATGTAAAACATTCTCAAACATGAATCAAACTTCATTTTAAAAGCAGTATCTTGGCATTGTTGTTGCTTCTTCCACGATGAAGTTATGTTGAAAATAACTTATTTTTTTTTTCTTTGAAACGATTTTTTTTAAAACAAATGTGTTAAATTTATTTCAAGCAAACTTTAAGTTTCTGCTAGTTAAGTTATGATGTGAAAATTTTTCCTTCCAATCATCTGTGCTTGAATTAGATTTGCTCTATAATTGGAAACTTGTCCTTTTTAGAGAAGAACCGGCTAATGATCACTGCGCGGTGCTCATATCGCCGACAGGTCCATTCGCCGACTGTCACAACCACTTGGACCCGATTGATTACTGGCGCCAATGCAAGTACGACTACTGCTCCTACCCCATGATGACAGCCAATGGACAGGTCGACAACGACATCTTCCTTTCAGTTCGATGCTCCGCCATCGCAACATATGCTCAACGGTAGACAGTTTCCTTCTCATTGCATTCAGAGAGACGGTCATTGCCGCTTTTGAAAAAATCTCCGCAAATTTTAAACTAATTTACAAACAGACGGTTGCTAATAATGGTCTTTTTCCGTCATATATACCAATACTTTCATATTTTAAACGAAAATTTTGAAGAATTTATAGTTTTTGTGCCGCATTAGTTGCAAACAGCGCTTTGATACTAAAATTCTATAGTAAATGCCCGAGTATTTTATGTGGACTGGTTCTGTTATGAAAAAAACTAGTCGCGTACAAAATTGTTGTAGGTGCGGCTACTACTCATGGCTGGACACGACTCTTCTGGACACCTGGAGAGAAGTAACTGGATGCACACATGAGGGCTGTCCAAACACTCTAATGAAGTACACCGAACGGGCGAACATGTGTGGACACAGTTGTCGGCTAATGTCGGAGATGTCGCTTCTCGGCTACAACTGCGACTCACATCGCAAAGTGGCGGGATGTGCTTGTCCCGATGGCATGGTGTGGGATGACGCGAGTAATAGCTGTATAGAAGAGGGCACTTGTAATTGCTACCACATGGATGTAGTGACGCCTAATGGGGGAACTTACGAGGCTGGATGCATGCACTGGTAATCAATAAATAACGATTCTGTTATAAAACATCGCAGTTTTTTTTTCAGGATAATGTTTTTTATGCGATAATATATGGAAAAAATATAACTTATTTAGTTTTTTTAATTGATGTTTCTATTTTCAATTTAGCATTTGTAACGGCGGCTTGTTCGAGTGCACGATCGATGAACCCCCCTGCACCGCCGACTGTCCCGGGAACCTTGAGTTCAAAGCCGACGTCTCTCCCTGCCTACCCAATTGCGACTCCCCCGACGACTACAATGCGACCTCATGCCCCCACGACATAGTCCCCGGTGCATGTGTGTGTCCCCCAGGAATGGTTCTGAAGTACGCCTTGAGTAGTATCTGTGTGTCTCCTGACGAGTGCTCCTGCTCCTTCGAAGGCCATGATTACGAAACAGGGGACACTATCACCCGTGATTGCACGACATGTACATGTATGGGCAAAAACTGGGACTGTGAGAGCAACGATTGTCCATCGACTTGCTATGCGGTGGGCGCGCATGTATACAAAACATTTGATGACTACCAGTACCATTTTGGTGGGAGGTGTGGATACATGTTGCTGAAGACAACTGATGGCAGACTGGAAGTCAAGGTTAACACTATTATTCAATTTTTTTAACATTATTTCACAATACTTTGATGAGGAAGTGACTAACATCTCCTGTCGGAAGGTCGGTGATTTGAAGTCGACCATGATAGTTGCTTGTTGTTTGCTGGTGGGACAAAAATTCTCAGTCCAATTTTTAAGCAGAGCTACAACAGCGGTTCTGCGTAGAGAACTGAACAGCTCGTTTGTTGGTCCATTTCCTTGTGAATCATTCTTTATCTAAAATAATTTAGAAGTTTGGCGGCTTCCGAACAAGTTGTGCCTAAAATTCAAAAGCTAAGTTATGCTTAAAACTCAAAAGGTAAGTGTAGCTTGAAAAATAAACAGGATTGGAACCTTTATCTGAGAGGGTGTGTTGAATGGTTTGATAAATATCAAATGCTGAAAATAAATGACAGGGGAGCGATCACTTGCTGAGTTTAAGGAGCAAGATGTGATGTGTGGAACTAGCAACTCGGTGTGTGCCAAGTCAGTCTACATCCTCTACCGCGAAGACGTCACAAGTCCCTTCACAACCATCGAATTCATTAAGGTCACTGCTTCTAACATCAAACATGATTTACAAGCAGATTGTCATAAACTTAAACAAGTTTTCAACGTATTTCAAAACGTGAACAAAGTTGCAATTTACAATAGAGTTGAACCCGATTCAACAAAAAGTTTTGCCCAATTTTAAGCTAGTCTTTTTTAGCCGATGGCATTCAGACTTTTGCTGCAGAATGCGCGGTTCATAAGCAAGTTTTGAGCGGTTTCTGAGCTTTTTCTCACAAAACAGCTCAGAAACCGCTCATTCGGAAACAAAGTTTTGAGCGTTATCATCTGATGATACCGCTCAAACAGTCAAACTTTGCTGAAAAATTTTAAGCGTAATTATTTGAAACTAGGGTTGAAAACCACTCAAACCGCTAAAATTTAGCTTCAAACTCGGAAAACTGAAATTTGGACCTACAATTTATTTTAGAATTTTTTGATTACAAAGCTGTAAAAGAGATGTAAACAGCACAATAATCCAGTATACCTTTTGTAATTATCAGCAAAATGTATAACTTGATTGCATTGAAAAACAAAATTAAAAAAAAACGTTTCAAGAATTAGACCACATACCTGCCTATAGAGTTTTGAAAATCAATTTTTGTCGAGTTTCCTGATTTATTTCGAAAAATGTCATACCCTCGACGAGAATAGATGAATGCCCTCGGTGTGTGTGCGTGGGCTGGGCGACGGCCAAAATTTTTTGACATAATTTCCAAAAAGTGCCTCAAAGTGTCATTTTTGACTAGCTCTATCAAACTTCGGCAAAATGGGGCCTTACTAATGTTTTCGAAGAACTCTGAAAACCAATTACCTCAAAAATTTGACAAAACTTAAGATAAAAAAATAAGCCGGCGTCTCAAAAAAGTCTTATATCCACCCCTGCTAACAAGTCAGCCTTTTAATACGCTGGCGATTAGGAACCGATATCAAATTAGAATGTAGATTTTTTTTCGGGTTAACAACTTGCTTAATAAAATAAATTGAATCACATGATGTTGACTTGCTCAAATTCACAAAAACTCAATGATAGCTATCGGGTGCGTACTAATTATTACTGGGTAGTTACAGTGGGGACTTGAAACTTTAGAATTTTTTAAACAGTTTTTTTTTCGGCTCAACTCGGGCCTGCTCAAAAATGTTCGGTCTTCTTTGCGCTTCGTAAGTTGCTATTTTGAATTTCAAATGACTTGCTTGCCATGTTTGCCTAAAGTTTGTGTTTGTTAACAACAATGCTAGGAAATAGTGTGGGATTAGGTTGTTTTTAAAACTTTTTGAGACGCTGTGGAAAATTTTATCCCTTTTTGCAAAAAATTTAGTTTTTTTTTTCCCGAAAACCATTTCACCGACTTTCAAAAAGAAGTATTCATTTTAAAAAAATGCCGACCGTACCTGCATACTCACTTGATTTGTTTTTGATTGAGCCTTTTGTCAACATCTTTCAAAAAAGTCTGTGGGGGGAATATTCGACCGATTTTTTGATTTTTTTCTCGTTTTCTCAAAACCTAACCTACCAAATCTGAGATTTTGATTTCAACAAAAAAATTCATTTGAAAAAATCCCTTCATAACGTTGTGGGTTTAAGGGAGATAACTTGTAGTGGTTGAGATCCCCAGCATTACCGGCCACTCAAAAAGATATCGTCCTCGCAACGATTGGTTTTTTGAGCGTTTTTTTTTCTAGATTTTAAAAATTTTAATTAAAATTAACCTCCCTTATTTGAGAATTTGGGTTCAATCCCCACAACTTGAATACGCTCAAATTCTGTTTGCACGAAAAATTGTGGACCCGGAAGCGTCAAATTTGAGATTTATTTTACCGCTCTTGAAAATTAATGTTTAAATTTTTTCGACAAATCCTCCGCCATATTTTTATTTTCGATTTAATCGAATATACAAGTTTGGTAATTTTTTTTGCATACATGGCTATACCCAGACTTCTCCATACATGGCTATATACAAGTTTGGTATTTTTTTTGCATATATGGCTATACCCAAACTTTTTCATCAAAAGTTATGATTCTCGGAAATGTCAACTTTCTGATTTAATGACCGTTTTTGGGACTTTTCTCGATAACTATCCAGCCAAATCTGATATCATAGATTTTATGATTTTGAACGTTTTTCGGAAATTTTTGACTTCAAAAAAATTACCGAGCCAATTCTTAGGTTTAGTGTTCAATCTAGAAACCCGATTTTGGGGTTCTACTTTACTTTGCCAGCCACGACCTGCTCTTAGCAGAAAAACGTTACAGACCTAGGAGAGTCAACTTATAGATCTTTGACAATTTTCTAGAAACTTTTTGAAAAATTTTTTAAAACTACCCTATGAGATCTGAGATAAAAAAAATCCAATCGAATGAAGTGGTTGCGAAAATGTTTTTTTTGCAAAAATGGCTACTCTTTAGATTTTTGTAAGAGAAATGTTACGACTTTGCGGAAATTCCAAAATCTCAAAAATTTTCACTCTTCTAACTTAAAAAGTAGAGAAAGATTTAAGCGTAATTATTTGAAACTAGGGTTGAAAACCACTCAAACCGCTAAAATTTAGCTTCAAACTCGGAAAACTGAAATTTGGACCTACAATTTATTTTAGAATTTTTCGATTACAAAGCTGTAAAAGAGATGTAAACAGCACAATAATCCAGTATACCTTTTGTAATTATCAGCAAAATGTATAACTTGATTGCATTGAAAAACAAAATTAAAAAAAAAACGTTTCAAGAATTAGACCACATACCTGCCTATAGAGTTTTGAAAATCAATTTTTGTCGAGTTTCCTGATTTATTTCGAAAAATGTCATACCCTCGACGAGAATAGATGAATGCCCTCGGTGTGTGTGCGTGGGCTGGGCGACGGCCAAAATTTTTTGACATAATTTCCAAAAAGTGCCTCAAGGTGTCATTTTTGACTAGCTCTATCAAACTTCGGCAAAATGGGGCCTTACTAATGTTTTCGAAGAACTCTGAAAACCAATTACCTCAAAAATTCGACAAAACTTAAGATAAAAAATAAGCCGGCGTCTCGAAAAAGTCTTATATCCGCCCCTGCTAACAATGGCTATTTTTTTGCATACATGGCTATACCCAAACTTTTTCATCAAAAGTTATGATTCTCGGAAATGTCAACTTTCTGATTTGTTGACCGTTTTTGGGACTTTTCTCGATAACTATCCAGCCAAATCTGATATCATAGATTTTATGATTTTGACCGTTTTTCGGAAATTTTTGACTTCAAAAAAATTACCGAGCCAATTCTTAGGTTTAGTGTTCAATCTAGAAACCCGATTTTGGGGTTCTACTTTACTTTGCCAGCCACGACCTGCTCTTAGCAGAAAAACGTTACAGACCTAGGAGAGTCAACTTATAGATCTTTGACAATTTTCTAGAAACTTTTTGAAAAATTTTTTAAAACTACCCTATGAGATCTGAGATAAAAAAAATCCAATCGAATGAAGTGGTTGCGAAAATGTTTTTTTTGCAAAAATGGCTACTCTTTAGATTTTTGTAAGAGAAATGTTACGACTTTGCGGAAATTCCAAAATCTCAAAAATTTTCACTCTTCTAACTTAAAAAGTAGAGAAAGATTTAAGCGTAATTATTTGAAACTAGGGTTGAAAACCACTCAAACCGCTAAAATTTAGCTTCAAACTCGGAAAACTGAAATTTGGACCTACAATTTATTTTAGAATTTTTCGATTACAAAGCTGTAAAAGAGATGTAAACAGCACAATAATCCAGTATACCTTTTGTAATTATCAGCAAAATGTATAACTTGATTGCATTGAAAAACAAAATTAAAAAAAAAACGTTTCAAGAATTAGACCACATACCTGCCTATAGAGTTTTGAAAATCAATTTTTGTCGAGTTTCCTGATTTATTTCGAAAAATGTCATACCCTCGACGAGAATAGATGAATGCCCTCGGTGTGTGTGCGTGGGCTGGGCGACGGCCAAAATTTTTTGACATAATTTCCAAAAAGTGCCTCAAGGTGTCATTTTTGACTAGCTCTATCAAACTTCGGCAAAATGGGGCCTTACTAATGTTTTCGAAGAACTCTGAAAACCAATTACCTCAAAAATTCGACAAAACTTAAGATAAAAAATAAGCCGGCGTCTCGAAAAAGTCTTATATCCGCCCCTGCTAACAATGGCTATTTTTTTGCATACATGGCTATACCCAAACTTTTTCATCAAAAGTTATGATTCTCGGAAATGTCAACTTTCTGATTTGTTGACCGTTTTTGGGACTTTTCTCGATAACTATCCAGCCAAATCTGATATCATAGATTTTATGATTTTGACCGTTTTTCGGAAATTTTTGACTTCAAAAAAATTACCGAGCCAATTCTTAGGTTTAGTGTTCAATCTAGAAACCCGATTTTGGGGTTCTACTTTACTTTGCCAGCCACGACCTGCTCTTAGCAGAAAAACGTTACAGACCTAGGAGAGTCAACTTATAGATCTTTGACAATTTTCTAGAAACTTTTTGAAAAATTTTTTAAAACTACCCTATGAGATCTGAGATAAAAAAAATCCAATCGAATGAAGTGGTTGCGAAAATGTTTTTTTTGCAAAAATGGCTACTCTTTAGATTTTTGTAAGAGAAATGTTACGACTTTGCGGAAATTCCAAAATCTCAAAAATTTTCACTCTTCTAACTTAAAAAGTAGAGAAAGATTTAAGCGTAATTATTTGAAACTAGGGTTGAAAACCACTCAAACCGCTAAAATTTAGCTTCAAACTCGGAAAACTGAAATTTGGACCTACAATTTATTTTAGAATTTTTCGATTACAAAGCTGTAAAAGAGATGTAAACAGCACAATAATCCAGTATACCTTTTGTAATTATCAGCAAAATGTATAACTTGATTGCATTGAAAAACAAAATTAAAAAAAAAACGTTTCAAGAATTAGACCACATACCTGCCTATAGAGTTTTGAAAATCAATTTTTGTCGAGTTTCCTGATTTATTTCGAAAAATGTCATACCCTCGACGAGAATAGATGAATGCCCTCGGTGTGTGTGCGTGGGCTGGGCGACGGCCAAAATTTTTTGACATAATTTCCAAAAAGTGCCTCAAGGTGTCATTTTTGACTAGCTCTATCAAACTTCGGCAAAATGGGGCCTTACTAATGTTTTCGAAGAACTCTGAAAACCAATTACCTCAAAAATTCGACAAAACTTAAGATAAAAAATAAGCCGGCGTCTCGAAAAAGTCTTATATCCGCCCCTGCTAACAATGGCTATTTTTTTGCATACATGGCTATACCCAAACTTTTTCATCAAAAGTTATGATTCTCGGAAATGTCAACTTTCTGATTTGTTGACCGTTTTTGGGACTTTTCTCGATAACTATCCAGCCAAATCTGATATCATAGATTTTATGATTTTGACCGTTTTTCGGAAATTTTTGACTTCAAAAAAATTACCGAGCCAATTCTTAGGTTTAGTGTTCAATCTAGAAACCCGATTTTGGGGTTCTACTTTACTTTGCCAGCCACGACCTGCTCTTAGCAGAAAAACGTTACAGACCTAGGAGAGTCAACTTATAGATCTTTGACAATTTTCTAGAAACTTTTTGAAAAATTTTTTAAAACTACCCTATGAGATCTGAGATAAAAAAAATCCAATCGAATGAAGTGGTTGCGAAAATGTTTTTTTTGCAAAAATGGCTACTCTTTAGATTTTTGTAAGAGAAATGTTACGACTTTGCGGAAATTCCAAAATCTCAAAAATTTTCACTCTTCTAACTTAAAAAGTAGAGAAAGATTTAAGCGTAATTATTTGAAACTAGGGTTGAAAACCACTCAAACCGCTAAAATTTAGCTTCAAACTCGGAAAACTGAAATTTGGACCTACAATTTATTTTAGAATTTTTCGATTACAAAGCTGTAAAAGAGATGTAAACAGCACAATAATCCAGTATACCTTTTGTAATTATCAGCAAAATGTATAACTTGATTGCATTGAAAAACAAAATTAAAAAAAAAACGTTTCAAGAATTAGACCACATACCTGCCTATAGAGTTTTGAAAATCAATTTTTGTCGAGTTTCCTGATTTATTTCGAAAAATGTCATACCCTCGACGAGAATAGATGAATGCCCTCGGTGTGTGTGCGTGGGCTGGGCGACGGCCAAAATTTTTTGACATAATTTCCAAAAAGTGCCTCAAGGTGTCATTTTTGACTAGCTCTATCAAACTTCGGCAAAATGGGGCCTTACTAATGTTTTCGAAGAACTCTGAAAACCAATTACCTCAAAAATTCGACAAAACTTAAGATAAAAAATAAGCCGGCGTCTCGAAAAAGTCTTATATCCGCCCCTGCTAACAATGGCTATTTTTTTGCATACATGGCTATACCCAAACTTTTTCATCAAAAGTTATGATTCTCGGAAATGTCAACTTTCTGATTTGTTGACCGTTTTTGGGACTTTTCTCGATAACTATCCAGCCAAATCTGATATCATAGATTTTATGATTTTGACCGTTTTTCGGAAATTTTTGACTTCAAAAAAATTACCGAGCCAATTCTTAGGTTTAGTGTTCAATCTAGAAACCCGATTTTGGGGTTCTACTTTACTTTGCCAGCCACGACCTGCTCTTAGCAGAAAAACGTTACAGACCTAGGAGAGTCAACTTGTAGATCTTTGACAATTTTCTAGAAACTTTTTGAAAATTTTTTTAAAACTACCCTATGAGATCTGAGATAAAAAAAATCCAATCGAATGAAGCGGTTGCGAAAATGTTTTTTGCAAAAATGGCTACTCTTTAGATTTTTGTAAGAGAAATGTTACGACTTTGCGGAAATTCCAAAATCTCAAAAATTTTCACTCTTCTAACTTAAAAAGTAGAGAAAGATCTAAGGTTTTGTCCCTCATCAGCCTAACAAAATCAAAAAATAACAAACATTTAACTCCAGCTTTAGCTGGGCGCTAAGTGTCGTTCATCGATTGTCTAGTTTTGGTTCACCTATTTTTTTCCAAAACTTTTCGCTTTTTTCGCTTCATTTTTTGATGATTGTGGTGTATCGCAAGTGGTGCGAAGCTCCGCTTCCCCTCCGTGGTATGAGAATTGTCAAGCACCTGATTGGCATGCGCTTTGCTATAAAATTTGTTAAAAAGTTAGTTTTTTTTTCTACAGCCATTACCGAATCCCTAAACTTATGCGAACATTCAAGTAAATTGCTTTTGACAGAACATTGTTATAATCGTAATCAGGATTTGTGTTCCGAAAACTGAAAGCGCGCGCTTTCCCTCAAAATTAGTATATATCGGTAGCATTTTATTTAGCTGGCCGAAAAACAAAAAGTGCAGACTGCAAAAAATAACAGAATAAAATCAGTAACTGAATAGAAATGTCGACTGAATGTCAGTCGGGAAAAGTTTTGCCGATCGCAATAGTCGCGCCATGTCGACCTTTGTCGAAAAACTTCTATGCCAAAATCTGCACCTGATTTTTGTTGACAAAGTTCTGGACATTAAACACGGAAATCTTTTTTGGGTCATCAAAGCTTTTTGTCGCGAAAGTCGAGAAACTCCAATTTCTGGTCACAGTCTGGACAAGCATAAAATTGAATGATCCCCGATATATCGTGCCTACTAGTATCGTTTTTGTTCTATGCGTAGTGAATTTTCATACATAACGAATACAATATAATAAATAGTCAAGAGTAGCCGGTTGCTGGTGCAAGTAGCACAAAACGTTCCTTCCACAGTTTTTCTGAAGTTTTTTCTGAATTTTTCTTTAGAAAACTGCTTAAATGATTTTTTCAAAACTGCTTAAAAGGCTTTATTTGACAAGTTGTTTGAGCATAAGTAATTAAAAACAAAACAAAAGATCTTATTATAAAACTTTTCTGCCAATGAAGCGCTAAATGGCTTTTCAAAAATCAGTTTTCCACAGCTAAAACTAAGTTTATCATGTTAATAGTTAGTAGTTGTTCTGCGTCAACAATTAATAATCAACAATTATTAACTGTTCTGCATTAAACAGCTCCTCATTATTTTTCTGGCTCTAAATTGGACAAAAAAAAACGAAATTCTTAAACCAGATTTTCTCGACACTGAGAAAACTTTTTGAAAATTTGTAAAATCGATCGAATCACGGAATGCGCTTCACGTCGATCTTTTAGTCAACTTTTCCTGACTTTTAATTGTGTTACCTGATTTTTACGTATAGAAAATATCCGAAAACAAGCCCAAATTTAAGGTCTCTCCCCACTTTAGCAGCCGGTAAAATGAACTTTTCTTTCTATATCAGGGCGAAAACGTTAGGATAGACGGAGTGGTGGTGCCAATGGAGACTCTGCAGTCTATTTACACTGTCAGTGAAGGACTGACGCTGCGCAGTGTGGGATACTTCTTTGTGGCGCTCATTCAAAATGCCCATACTCATGTCAGCATCTCCTGGGACGGAGGTGAGAAGCTATTTTGCTCATAACTTCTCAATGTTCGTATATTAAACAGTTGAAATATTTAACCTTATTTGTGGATAATCGTTTTTAGTACCATAAGCGATTGTTAACGAGATCCGAGTTGAACCGATTTAAGATATGCTGTGGTACCTTAAAGCAAATTTTGAGGGCGAGCTTTCTTTGCAACTTGAGATAATTTGTTACCCGCATTGGAAAAACTAAGATTACAATCGACTATATTTTTTTTATAAAGATTTTCTTCAAGTAGAAAAACTGATTGTATGTAACCCAATTGGACATCAAAATGGATAATATAAGGATTTTATAGAATTCAGAAAAATCAATTATTTTTTCTAGAAAATGGATTTTTTAAGGAATAAAATCTGTATTGAATCTGTATAAAATCGATTATGACCATTTGCAATGTTTTTTCTAGAGACCCAAGAAAATCAATTAAATTGTCTGAAAAATCGATTTTTCTACTCTCAGAAACGTGCTTGGGCCTTAAAAACCAAATTTTGATGATAACTATGCAAACAAAAATCTAAACATTAATATAAACAAGCTTTTGGGCATAAAAATATGCAATAAAATCCAGACCCAGCATTTTTTTTTGTTAAATCTTGAAAATTATTCGAAAAGCCTTGAAGAAAAATTTTTGAGAAATTGGCCAAATTGTGTCAAGAACCTTGAACGTCTGTAAAAGATTGCTAAGACATTTCTAAAACCTAGAACACAAAAAGCAAAGTTTGAAAAGAATTTTGAAATTTTTTTTTTGAAGCTCGGGGTTTGCCAGCGCATTAAAATCAATTTACAAAAATTATAAAACTTGATGAAACAAAGATTACGCGCAACAAAATGAAACACTGCGACCAGGATTTAGCAAAAAATTATTTTTGACTAGAGTTTAAAAAGTTCATTTTTTGACTAGAGTTTAAAAAATTTCCCGATGAATTTAGTTTCAAACATTTTAGGGCAATAAATTGAAGCATTGATAAAACAATAAAATCTAAACATTTGAGAAACAAAATGAAGCATTGCAGCCTTGAATTATCAAAAAACTTCAGTACATTTAATTTCCACTAGGCCCATGACTTTCAAGAACAAGGCAATACAAGCCCAATGCGCTATTGATCAACTTTATACGACGTGTTTTTAGACGAATCGTTAGAAAGGGCTAAAAATGATCTACTCTTGATAAGTTTTCTTAAATAATTTGACACGAAATAGTTGATAGGCCCTAAAAAAAGTTCCAACATTTTGTTCTGGCCCTGTATTACTCAATTGATTATATATCAGTATTTTGTCATTGGTTGTTTTTGACGTACAATTGAGATGTTCCCCGCATTGGGAAAACTATGATTGCAATCGGTTACGGCAAGTAAAATTTACAGTTCAGCTTTTCTAGTTTTCTTAATGCACTAACTAGATAGATTTTTTAAACAACAAGTCTGCTCGTATCAAGGCGAAGCCCTGGATGTTCCGACTGCCTTTTAGGGTTTATGGAGCAGCAGTAATAACATAAAAAAATTAAATGAAATAAAATAAAATGAAAATTTTTTTTTCCAAAATTTGAAATTTTTAATGAAAATCATCCCTCCACACGCCATATAAAGTACAAAAAGAGAGATTTCGTTCCTTGTAACAAATCACTTATGGCAAATAAGCTTAGGATTTAATCCGTCCTAAGGAACGATTTATAGGACGGATTAAATCTCCGCTTACGCGTTAATAGCGCGAATTATATCGCTCGCTAATTGTCCCAAATTGGCCAAAATGGCAATCTTTAAACCCTAATTACTTTACGAAAAATGATCACAAGTGAAATATCTTTTCAAATTTAAGCTCACAACAACAATACCTTTTGAATGATATTAAAAAATTCCGTCAAAAATGGCTAGTTAAAAAGTCGAAGTTTGTCTGAAGAAAAAAAAACCCACCCCGAGCACAAATATTCTGTTACTTTCGTATCGAAAGTCGGAACAAAAAAACAGTAAGTGTTAAAATTTGAGCCGTATGCGGAATGCATTTTTTAAAACTTGTCTCAACCTAATCAATTGGATAGACACAAAAATCCATTTTTGAGTGCACATTTTGGTATATATTATAAACAGATTTTATACAGATTATATACACTTATTAAACAGATAATATGCACTATAAGATTTTGAATTGAAATCTAAAGTTGTCAAAATAAGACCAAAATTGACATTTTTTTTCTGCTCAAAGTAGTTGTATTGCTTGATATTGTTTGTGGATGTGTTTGTGTTCGTTGTGTGGTGAGGTGTGTTTTTTGTAAAATTGTAGGACTAAGACTATTGTCGGAAAATTTTGTGCTACTTGCACAGTAACCGGCTATACTTGTTATATCATCTGCTAATATTTGGTTCGATGATTCTTCGATTGTCCTCTAATTTTTGCCAATACGGGTCAGGGTCAATATAATGATGTCGAACGGATCTGAAAAGTTTGTGTCTCAAGAACAGAAATTTGGTTATTCCTACCCTATACTTTTCAAGAACTAGTCAATACTAGCTCGAAGTGCTATTGGGCAGCTTTCTAAGACGTCTGAAACTTTTGACAATTTTTCAAGTACAATTTGACATGAAATATTTGTAAGGCCTTCAAATTGTTTTCAGTCATAATCTTGAGGCATTATTTTACCAATTTGATATCAAGATTTTTGTCTTAGTTTGATTATTTAAGCAGTTTGTATCAATTCTGATCTCTTTTTAATAAAAACAAGACACGTAACAAAACATCTTGTGCAATTTGAAATTGTATCTTAAAAAATTACCGGATAGTGTATAGTGTATTGATTTACCGAATATTGTATTTATTGTATGGTGCGTATTATCTGTACAAAATCTGAATATAGTCTGTATATAACCTGTACCAAAATATGCACTTGAACAAAATTTTGGTGACTATCGAATCGATTAAAAGCAGTATTAACTGCAATCAATTGTAATCGTACTGTTAATCAAGAAAATCCTGTATTTGGCTCATAAAAATATAATGTGTCGTTGAACTGTTAGATTCTACTTGCGATAATCGATTGCAAACTTAGTTTTGCCATATTGCGGCAAGGGAAGTTCACCTCAACTAATGTAACTAATTAAAAATAGAAAAGGAGAGTCTATATTACGATGTGAGAGATTAAGGGTGTTCTTTCTGCTCATTTATAAATATCTGAATTCGATTTAAAATGGTTTCTTAAGACAGAGTGAAAAAAAAATATTGAAAAGGACAGACAGATTAATAGACGTCAAAACAGACGACGTTTATACCTATATGAAAAACTGGAAAAATGGTTGGTGAGTTTTGTCCTGCCGGGCAAGAAACGCTTACTCCGCGATGCATACCCGGGCCGAGGTCGGGGACTTATGATGCAATCATTGCGACTCAAAATACGCACAGTTCAAAAGTTTGTCGATGATCCAATTAGATTGTAAAAAAAATGATTTTTTTTTCAATTCTCTTACTTCAGAGATGTCAATCTACATACGAATCGGAGAGATGCACAGATTTGAGACACTGGGTTTGTGTGGTACATTTGACGGGCTGCCCGACAACGACTTCCTCTCTCCCGCCAACATCACCATGGGAACAGCCTGTGCCTTCGGAGACAGTTGGGTCGCCATGGATTGTGGCGAAACCGACTGTCTGGACTATGCCGCCGAGGTGCGTCTGATATTTTTCCTAAAAAACTAAAATAGACATTCTCAAAAACGGTAACGAAGACCAGAAACTCAGCTTTGCTTAGCAAAGTACATGAATTTTTTTTTTAAAATCTGCAATAAATGAATGTGCGAATCACTATATATTAATTTGAATAGCAATTTCTGTGAATAGCTAGTTACGTTCAGTTAAGACAATGTCCTTCCGAGAGAAACGACCAAATACTTCGAACTTACAGTATGAATATATGGATAACTTCAGTAACTTTAAAAATGTCCATTTTTTGTGAAAAAAAAAAATTTACAATCGAATGTCGAATAAAGTGCCGTTTCTTTTTCTTTTTTTATTAGGTGAATAAAACATACGGGTACAGAGAGGCTTGGGCTATGGAACAATGTGCACGCATCACAGACACTTCCATATTTGGAAAGTGTCATGACAAGATTGACCCTACAAGTTACGTCATGGACTGTCGCACGGAGAGCATGGGATGTGCATTCGGGGGTGACTGTCAGTGTCTCTGCACATCAGTTGCACGCTACGCACGTGACTGCTGTATGGCCCACGGCATTTGTCCACAGTGGAGAGATCGATACTTTTGCCGTAAGTTTGACCCTGAAAAGATACTTTTGGCCCTGAAAAGCACAAATTTGTTGTCCAATTGTCTTGACCCATCATTTTAATCCAAAAAAATCAATTTTTAAAGCAATCAAAACCTAGAAAAAAAATAATTAGTATGTTTGTTTTCTTCTCTCGATTCTGATTAGCTCAGTACGTGTCTACTTTTTGACCGAATTCCAGTCTCCACGCATTCTTGTCCAGCTGTTCTTCGTCGATGAAATAAAATAAGGTCGGGTTTTTCTGTTGAATTAATATTACAAAGTGCGACTGTTTTTCTTTTGCAGCTGGTGGTTGTGACCCGTGCAGTGGGGAGCCGATCAACCTACTCGCTATGGATCCGATGGAAGTGGCCCTTCCCCTGGAGACGACCTGTCCGTCTTATAGGGTGTGTGGACCGGCGTGCACTCTCACCTGTCAGAACTATGGCAGCGAGGAGATCCACAACTGCACTTTAGATGACCAATGCTACGAGGGTTGTTTCTGCATGCAGGGATACATATACGAACGTAAGTTGCAACTGGTCCGACGGTTCCGACGGGAGTAATTCTTTGTACAGTCATGGAACAGAAAAGTTAAAACTTAAAGTTTTCAAGCGATGAAATGAACGATTTTTTTTTCACGTTTCCGTCATTTTCTCTGCAACCAATTAAGATTTGGATGCATGTTAAATACAACTACTTCACAGAGGCTAGCCGGTTCGAAAATGGATTTTTTGAAGGCGTTATAGAGCCAGTGTATATATTATAACTAATTTCAGAGGCGTTCTTGTTGTGGAAGAATCCTCGCAAACAACAAACGGAATTTGAATTTATAATATTTATCCATCCAGTTTTCTAGTATAAGCGCCGAAAACCTTTTAATATCTGCATCGAAATAACAAAACCGACCGTTTTTTGACGCTGAACCAATTTACTACTTCATTTTTGCGTGGGCTTAAATTGTGATTCCAGTTCATCAGCTTTTCAAGGAACCAGTTTGAGCCCGCAAGTTCAAATTCCTTGCTTTAACTGCGAAGATGTTTCCATAGCAAGAGCAACTCCATAACTAGTTATGATATACTCCCTGTATTCATCTTTCACAAATCAATTCACAAATTTTAATCCGGCTACTTTATTTCAATAAGTCTCAATGCACATGTGTCATATTTTCAATCTTATACCCTAAATAGTTGCAAGAAAACGACACAATCGTGAAGAAATAACTAAAGACAATTCGCATTAAAAGACAACTTGCATTAAAAGACAACTCGCATTAAAAGACAACTCGCATTGAAAGACAACTCGCATTGAAAGACAACTCGTAATATACTCACTGCCGCAGTCGCGCCAACGTGTTGCGAGCTTGCCAACAGAGGGTAGGACTTTATACGAAATTTAGAGCGGGTTATCGCCGCAAAGCCGGTCGTCTTTTGTTACGAGTTGTCTTTTCTTGCGATTTGTCGCGGTACCGCAGCAGTCACATATTGCATCGAGAAACTTTGTGAATAAATCGAGACACGCAGTATTTAAAGTAGTGCACTAGTTTTACTAATGCGATCAGCTTAGTATGTAATTACGAAACTTTTTATTTTAACCTAACTTGCAAATAAAAGCATTCCCAGTGTTCACTTATTTGGAAAATTTTACTAACCTTCTTTTTTTCTAAACTAACTTGCAAATAAAAAGTTAATTAAAAGTGTTCACTCATTTGGAAATTGAGCTTCCGTGGCTCAGTTATTAGTGCGTGAAATTTTAAAGCTCTAGGTCGCAGGGGCAACTCTCAGAGATAGCAGAAGCTTTACTAACTCGAGGCCTACTCGAGGCCTCAAATATGGCACCAAAATTTATTGAACACGTGTTTTTTTTAAATACAACGGTCTTTTTTTATGAGATTCATACACTGCTGTTTTTTTGATGCAGCATTTAATGTCTAGAGAAGCGAATTTAGGATTTCTTGAGGGGATTTCCATAAAATATTCGCACATTATGATCAAACTTTTTTTGGATTTCCAAAAAGATCACAAAATCCTTAAGCTCGATATGAAAACGCCGCTTCGTAAACAAAATTGGCGCGCCAGCTAGGTTTTTAAGAAGCTAACCGGCCAGAAGAACGTTTTAGAGCAATTTTTCGATTGTCGACGCAAAAATGCGATTTTTTGGAGCGCCCTCCCTCTTTAAATTAAAACCATGTAGTCTAACGGGCAAAATTTTTAACAGCAGACAATTCGTAACAGGTGACAAATAGTTAATCAGTCGTACAATACCATTCGTGCTGAATGTAAGTGCAGCGGAACAAGTATTCGCTACTCGCCTATGCTTTGTTACATATTGTCGCTGGTTACGACCTGATGCCTGATTATGTCGCCTGGTTAGATTTGTCGTTTGTTATGAATTTCCGACCAACCTAAGTAGACAAACAGGGCGGGCTTAGAAATCCATTAGGGTTTGTTGACCAGAAATGAATGTGGCAATTGTTCAAAATCAAAATAGAGAAAAACATCAGTCGTACCGTACCTAAATACTCATATTTTTTGTGCATTACATAGAGTTGTGGTGTCTGCGATTCGCAGAGGATATATGAAAGGCTATCCAGCCTGTAGAAGCATAGTCCGTTTCTCTTATTTCCCAGCATTCCAGACTGAATAATTTTGTTGCGCGAAGCTCTTGTTTCTGCGACTCAGGGCCGTTTTCTTTGCCACTAGAACTTCCACGTGGTAAATTGAGAGCTCAGCCTCACAAACTACCATTGCCATGACAGGAGATCGATTACATGATCTGACGATATGAAAGTGGACGCCTTTCTACCATGCTAGGTGTCTCCGAAAAAAATTTCTTGTCTTCGCTGAATTCGACCAGTTTCCCTGTTTCGGTTTGCATTCAGCTTTTTTAAATGTTTGTTTTTGGGTGTCAGCTACCACCAAGAAGTGTGTGTTGCCCGGCAACTGTCCCTGTGCTCTTTCTATGGAGGGTTCAACTGAGGTCACTTATGTCAGCCAAGGGTACATTTACTACGAAAGCGACTGCACTAGATGGTAAGAAGTATTGGCTCTTTACTATTAATTTGTCTCACTTAGAGCTTCTCACACTCTACAAACCATAAATGCATGTGGGGTTTGTATATTTCTTTTATGGTGGTCAACTCGAGTTGATATGGGTCAACGGTGGGTTGAAATTTTTGTAGTTTGAAGTAGTTTGCTTTCTTCTGAATGCTTTTTTTCGATTTTTTTATTTAGCAGTCCAAAAAATTGAAATAAGACATGCAAAATTGAACAGAAGTTCCTGTAGGCTTCACAGCTTTAGACATGTTTTACAAAATCTATGAAAAGAGATGATATATAAATAATTTAATAAATTTACCCGATTGCACAAAAATGATTTTGTTATTTTAAATAAAACCTAGAAGTAATTTTTTTACTCTGCTTGGTTAAACATTTTATAGGAATTTGTGAATAGAAACATATATTTTTCTTCTTAACAGCGAGTGTTCGACTTTCGGCGAGATGATCTGCGTGAAAGAATTCTCCAACCCCGGCTGTGGGTGTGACCCTGACCTAGAGATCCCCTGCAGGGGAGAGGGGGACAACGCCACTGACATCTGCATGTCTATTATCTACACTTGCGACAACTTCCCCGACTGTCCCTACGGAGAAGACGAAATGAACTGCAGTAAGTTATTGCACATGTTCCATTGCTGTTCCTCTACTTGTAGATTACGTCGGCTGGAAAAACGTGTTAAAAATATAAAAGTCATATTTATATTTCTGCTGAAGGATTATCCACGAGAGAAAAAAACAACATACGAGCTATTCGCATTTTAACGGAGAATCGCTGTTGCACCCCTGATTATAATTTACATGCAGTGTTTACTGTATCTTTCTGGGATAGGTAATTTTGTCTCACCATTACGAAGAATTTTGCCCACCGATCATTCGGTAGAGAGACAGAGACTTATCATCTTATCACTGCCCTTATAATTTTTAATTAGATCGTTTTGTATGTTCATTTGTAGTTCATCTGAGACGCTTTGCAACAGGCTGTTAGTCTTATGGCTCTCTCTCATGTGATGTTTTATGTAAGAGTTCCTTATTCCTAGTTTTGTTTGTGTAATGACCTCACTCGGAGACAATTTATTATGGTAAATATTATCTATTTTTGGCAGCGACCTGTGCTAGACCTGAGCTCGAGTGCAACAATGACTTCGGGGGCACGAAGCACTGTCTGTCGCCCTCTGACCTGTGTGACGGGGAGTGCGACTGTGTCGTCACTGTGTCTGGCACAGAGGGCTACTGCTCAGATGAGGCCAACTGCACCAGCCAATGCTACGAGTGGCAATACCAGTGCCAAGTCAACACCGAGATTTGCATCCCCAAATCATTCGTGAGTTACTTATTTTCTATTCTATTCGGTCACACAACAAAAGAAAAAATTTTCAATCCCACTTTATCCGTTTGCATTTTGGAGATACCTAATTTTGCCATACACGTTATTCCAGATATGTTTGCTTCTCGTTTTCATTGGAATCTTGCTAAAAGTTTCTTGAGTGAGGTTTGAGAAACCACAAAACGGTTTCCGAGACTATTCTTCTAAATTTTTTGTACTCAAAGTTATTTCAAACACTATGCTATGGAATGATTGTCTGTTGGCTAGGTTGATGAGAGTTAAAATTTGTTCCGACCATGTGAACGAACTTTGTATTTGGGTGTGTTTTAGTTTTTTCTTTTTTTTATTTTTCAGGCAAAATCAGGTACCACCAGTAGTAATCTGAATGGGTCGAGTGATATATAATATTAAAGTCCTCTCAGTCGAGGTTCGAAGGACATTAAAAAAATGAAAAAAATCTCTGTCTGGAAAACCAGTTTGAAATCTTGATTTTGGTGTCTAATTTCAAGCTAATAAGATGAGGCCCAGGGGCGAGTTTAGGTGGGATTGGGACGCCTTTTGTCTCAGGGATTCGACCCCCTGCCGATCAAAAGGTACTATTTTGAGATATCCATATTTGGTGACTGACCGTAAAATCTTTCTAGAGGCGCTTTTGGCGCCAATATATACTACTTTTGAGGGGGGAGCGAGCGATTTTTCTGTCTTTTTAGCCTTTTTAGCCTATTTTTGCCTATTTTTGAAAAATTTGCTTGCGGCGCAGAACATTTTGTCAAAATGGAGTCGTCACAGTGATTTTGAATAGCTAAGAAAATCAACTCGGTTGATCTAAAAAATGGTCTACAAAATGTTTGAAATTTTTTGAAAATCTGCCCCCCTCGAGAAAATCGTAGATCCACCCCTCGATGAAGCAAGCAGGCTTAAAAAGCTTATTTATGCTTATGGAACCAGATCTAAACTGAATTATATTATTGGTTGTTACTATGATATTTTATCTCTATAAAATATTGAATACTAACCAATCATACTCCATCAACTAACAACCCACTTATTTGTAAGTGCTGAAATTAATTGTAGTTTCAGCACCAGATCAAATTGAATTAAACTCAGCACCAGATCAATTTAAAAGAAAATAGTTGCCTTCTCCAGAGAGACCGACTCGCATACACCAGTATACACTAGATCTATTGAGACTAGGAGATATAAGATTAAGATTAAGATTGGTATTAGACTAAGAAGTTGCACGAATCTATCCGGCCGAAAATAAGATAGCGCGACGAGCAGACGGTGTGTCTTATCTGAAAGTTTTCTATGAGTATTACCGAATGGTCTTAACTCATTTGGTGCGACCAAAAGTGTCGAACAAGACGTTAACCAGCTTGGATTAGAAACATTAACCAAGACATTAGATTAGAAATAGATAATTATAACATTACAAAAAAATTTTATGACGAAAATTTAGTAGAAATGTCTCTACGACTCAATAGATCACTGCCAATTTTCCGAACGATACGATAAATACCTGGTGTTGCAAGAAACCCTCGGACAAGGCACGACACACGATTAGGAAGAAACCTATCAATCGATTTTATGATCGTACGACAAAAGCCAGATCAACTTTTATATGTAGAATACTTCCAGCAGTAAATATAAATTTTGATTTACTGACATAAAAATCTTGAAGAAAAGTCTTCAAAAACTTTCATTGCGCTAAACCTACTAATTATACAAAAACGACAGATAAGAATAACACTAATCGTTCCCCTCCAAAATCTGCAGTAATTTGAAACATCTTGGATAAAAAAATTTATTGAATATTAAAATACATAAATTAGTTATTATAAAGCATAATTGTTAGGATGTATAAATCATCCCTTCATCCTAGCTTCATCACCTAAAACAAAACAGCAAATTTCAAAAACTAATATCATAAAAACTATAACCTTAACCTTTTCTTACTTTAAATTTTCATCTGAAATTTATCAAGGCCTATCCTTGTTTTCACTTGAAATAATTTCATTAAAATACCAGATCATCAAAGCTTCCCTTGGATCTTTAAATTAAATTTAATTTAATCTAAATTTCTGATCATCAAGGCTCATCCGTGGATCAAATAGAACAATTTTGTTCTCCCCTCCCACATTTAATTAGTGTCTAACGACCTCAAACTTCGATTCACTACCCAACCCTTACTGACGACCCAGGACAATTAAATAAAATTTTTCAAAGAACTAACCATTCTAATTAGGATAAACAGTGAATAACTTCGCTTACTCGTCCTTCACTTGAATCCCTTCATCTTAGACGACCCAGGCTAAAACACTTGAATTTAGTAAGTCCTAAAATAGTACCTAACGAACTACTTGCGTTCTTATTATACCTGTACCTTGTGGATCGATTTACTATTCTTCAACCCTTCATCACGAATCACCACCTCAAAATAAGATTAGGTAAGTCTCTCTTTACTTAGAATTAATTACGAGAAAGTAAAAATCATTCTCACGAATCGATAAATACTTTTTCTCCAACCCAAAAATTTATGCCCCAAGTTAAGCTAACCACAAAAAATCTCAAGAATTAACAGTTTAAGAAACTAGAAATCACTAATCATAATTTGCATCCATTATCCTGAACCTTATGTCAACAGACGGTTTAGGAAATAAACAAACAATTGTATTACACAACTGTATAATTAATGACGAAAGATACCACCTCGTAATCGCACCACACAGACAAGCAAAAGGATATATAAGAACAAAATGAATAATCAATAAATAAAAATCTTCAAAATGACAATCAGATATAACTTTCTGACTCAAAACACATGTCACCAGCATCAAGAAAAGGAAAAAGCAGAATAGAAAATTCCTACAAAAGCAAACCAATACGTCTATACAATTGGAATCAACCAATAAGACACAATGAAAATTACACGTCAACAGCTATAAAACAAAAAAAATGATTCGAAATGAAGAAAATCTGAAGTTTAAGGACAGGTACAATTTTACCAGATTTTAATCGTAAATTCATTTGAAAAAGGAGATAGTCCATGCATAAAAGAATTTCCCGATGAAAAAAAGAAGACAAAATCTTGACCACTATCTCAAAAGCATATGTAGTCTCACATCACAATATGGAATCTACATCAGTTCAGCAAACGCATTTCACGACAAATATAATATTCAAACTGATGACGTAGATTTTGAATTTTCAAAAGTTTTTATAGAATGCATAAAAAATATACAACACCAAAACTCACAAAGAGCATATTAAATAATTATTACAAACGATTTATTTTTACTTATCTATAGCTATTTATCTGTACTAGAATTGAAGGAACCTCAAGGCGATTCACCTACTCGAACATTTCGACATACAACCGTATGCCAAGAAATAAATATATATTTTTTAAATACAATCCGTGAAAATCTAACTAATAATGACATAACACAACATGTTAAACACAATATACAAAAACTCCTAGCAGGGTTGATAATCGATTGTTTTTTTCATAATATTGATCTTATAGCACAAGCAAGAAAAATTTAGACCACAAAACACAGATGATGAAATTATATTAGCAGAACAAACAGATTGTTTGGGACCATGAATGGTCTCATGAATCATTTATTAATATACCAACAGATATATCAAGTCAAGCAATTGGCACAATCTCTATTCACAAAGGTTATGTCGAAGTATCCACACTTACAATTGACGCAACACCTTTGATTTATAATTCATTCTTTTCTGATAGAGCAGGAAACAATAGTTTAAACTCTACTTTCAAGAAGCAAGACAACTTAAACGGAACAAGAAAACTTACACAAAAAGATAGTCAAACTCCATCACATTTAGTAAGAAAAGAAATAGTTGAAACAAAAACAACAACAGCACAACAAAGCATTTCACCTATTCAACCCAATTTTACAACTCCAAAACAAAAACCCAACATTACAACAAACAATCATACAATCCACAGTAAAACCCTCTGTTGCTCAAAAATACTCACAAATGGATAACCAAACATTTCGACCAGTAACAACATCATCATATAAACAAAAAACATATCATAGAAATAATTTCGCTGTATATAATTATAACTATGTAAATAGATCAAGAACACCAAAATCTTCTAATATGAATACTCAGACCTTTTCATACTCACAAAAACAAAATACACAACAACCAACTTCAAATTCAATATGTTTCAATCATCAACCACAATCTACACAAGATCGAACTAAAAATTACCCATGTTTCACAATATGTAAACAACATCCAAACCACTACTTCACAAATAAATAATATTCATGACTCCGACACAGAGTTATCTGAGAAAATCACTGAAATCTTAAACATCTCAAATCTTGAAATCTTTGAGAAAAACCAAAATTTTAAAAGTAAACCATCATTCAAAAAATAGTGCAACTATTGCGGAAGATACGGACACAGCATTGCCAAATGCAGACAAAAACAACAAGATATTCAAAATAGAGCACAAAAACACAGAGAACCAAATAAATCAAATCAGAAATATATGAAAAAAGATCAAATTTATTACCTTTTAAAACAACAAGCGAACTAGCAACAGCACAGGGTTCAACCTTAACCAACTATAGAAAAATCCAACTCTTCCTTGTTTGAGCAATGGAAAAGAATAATTTCTTGAGCAAACCATTTGAACAAACCTTCCATATCACAGATATAAAACATAATAACATTGAAATCCCATTTATTACTAAATATATCCCAACTACAAATATTTTAAACAGCAGAATCCAAATAAAAGATAAATACACAAGAATGAAAAACACAGCTCTAACATTTTTCCAAAGAATAAACAAACAACCACCGTTTTTCTCCAAATTCTACTTCATATACAACCAAGAACGGAAACGCCTGAAACCACTAGCAGGTGATATATACAAATTCTCAATCCAACAATTTCACCAATACGTTAGATAACAAACCAAACAATATCTCTATATGTCTGACAT